TCGTGGCGGGCGGAGCGCGTCTTGATAGCGGAGAGAGAGGACATTGTTATGCCAAGATAGATAGGTCAAAAGAATGTGTGTCGCATAGTGATTACAGAGACAAGCACAGTAAGAGAGAATGTAGGTAGCACAAAGTTGGTGAGCGTTTGGTCGCGATGTGCGCGCGCAGGTACAGAGCGATCAGCTCCTCGCGTGGAATTAGTCAGCGCACGTGGAGTGACTGATTGTCACGGTACCCTCTGCCGAGCCCCAAATGCACCAGACGTTCTACAGCCCTCTCTCCCCCGGCGCTCGTTTCCCCCTCTTCAGATCCATTCACGATCCTTTCCATCAATTCCTCCTTCCTAATCCGTCCCCCTCCCTCCCAGGGCTTGCTGAGCGTAGCGAAGCATCGAGTGCCGGGGCAGAGAGGGCTGTGGAACGTCTGGAGCCGAGACTAAAGGTCGCCGTGCTATGGGAGGCCCCCACGGCCCACGAACCCTGGGACATGAAGGGGCGCGTGCCATCAAGGTAAGTATGAGTTGCAAGGGTGACTCAGGAGGGTTTATATACCTCATTGAGATGCGCACGGACCAAGCGCAGGATTTGCCGTTTGCCACGGGCGGCAACATGAAAGACGCCTGCTCAGAAGAATTGCCGGAGGTGCAGCTCAGCCCGTGCCCTCACCTTACGATAGGCGACTGAAGATGTTGAGATGATTCTTACATACAGTACAGTCGTCGTGTGCGGTCTAAACGTACAAGAGGTGCTACAACGATTCTTCAGACATCACAACGCACCTATTTTTCCCTGTGTCGGCCTCCGAGTCGCCTACTCGTTCAAGCATATGCAGTCGTGAAAGATCCGACCCTTCTTCCTCCACCCAATTCACCTCTATGCCGCTGTGTCTTCAAGAAGAGACGAGATGTGGGCCGAGGCCGCGTCCAATGCAGACACAAAGGTCCCGCCTGATCAAGACCACCCTCCGGACTTGTAAAAGACACGGACGCTGTGGCTACCTGCCACTCCTAAGGCCTAAGTTCCGGTACAGTCAAGCCCACAAGCCGTAGTGGGCACCTTGTGGACTGTTCGCCTCAACGAGACCATCTGCGCGCAGCAACGTTGTAAATCTTCTTCCGTTCATAACGGTGATCGAAGTCATGGAATCAAGTAGCTGCAGTGGGGTATCCTACCGGCGCTGTGGTGATTCAAGCTTGGTGAAGCTCAAGTACAGTACGACGATATCATATTTGTGAGAAGCGTCATCCTAGGCGAGCATGCTCCGCGCCGAACACGATGGTGCGGAGGTGGGTTGTACAACGCAGAAGGCGAACGAGGCGGGTAGTGGTATCCTCAAAGTACATGTACGCTCGCGGTCGATGCTCGTCAAGGGCCTAGCGCAGCTTGGGCCAACGGTATCCTCGGTCGAGCATTCATCTCCTGGATAGAAGACTTGCGCATAGCAGACTGTAGCCTGCACAGTCGAATAGAGAGCGATTATCTATAGGCTTAGTCAAGTAAACCTATACATCACGGGCACATACCATACGGATAGTGTCCAGCTCAAATCATTAGCTCGTCGCTGTTGTCGCAATACCCTCTACAGCCGTCGTCGTCCGATCTCCCTGCCCTTGTCCATTCGCCGCTGGGTCCGCCTCCGCCTTCTCCTTTGCAATAGCATCCTTCGCCTCCTCCCGCTCCTTATCCTTCGCCTCCCATTCCTTCAGCCGCGCCTCATACCACTCCCACACAGCCCTTCCCACAGCCTCCCCGCCGAACTCCCCATCATCCTCCAAGATGTCCTCCGCCACCGACTTCTTGCCCTCCTTGGCTGCTGAGGGCAAGATGGCAGGCCGCGGCACGTCGAGTCGCACAACCGCACATTCGCGGTAGAGCGCCCCTGGCTTGAGCACCTCGACGTTCGCGATCGTTGTCGCTCGGCGCGCTCGCGTCTCAGCCGTAGACTCCGATGCGTCCGCGGACCCCGCGGCCTCCGCTTGGGTTTTCCGCAGCTCCTCGTCCGCCGCGGCGTCGACCTTCAGCTGGGCGCGCTTGAGAGGTGTGGGCAAGAATAGACAATGCAGGACGGTCTGCAACGCCGACTCGGAAGACTTCGTGAAGAGGAACAGAGGTAGGAAGAGCGCCATGTACGCAAGCGACCACCCGCGGTCGCCCACGCCGAGGAAGGGCGCAATAGTGTCGCGACGGCTGATGCCCGGGCAGGCGGACACGGCGAGGATGTTGGAAGGGTGGGGAACGGGGGGTTTGTCAGACTTCTCCGCCTTCCGGTTTGGGAGGGAGTCGAGGATGCGCTGCAGGTGGCAGGTGAAGATGATAGTCCGAAGTGATCGGTGGCCCTCGGCGATGACTAGAGGCTGGGGGGGTGGTAGTGACGTGGGGGTAGACTGGAGGAATGCGGGAAACGTCGGCAGAGCGGCGGCGTAGAATGGATTCACGACCGAGATGACGCGGATGTCCCGTTCTACGGGCGCGACGAGCAGTGCTGGAAGGAGAAGAGTGGTGATGAGAAACGATGCGAGGGAAGCAGATTCCCGCTGCTCTGACTCCCGTCGCTCCTTGTCTGTGCGGGCTTTCCCACCGCAGAACCAGGTGCGTCCTATGCTTGGATATTCGTGGGCGAAGACGAGCGCATCTATGCGGGTGTCGTTCTGGGTAAGGAAAGCTGTGCAGAACTTGCGGATGGAGGTAACGGATGTCAAGTCGCAATGTTCGGCATATATATTTTCATTCTTCGTCGTTGAGCGGAGCAGAGGAAGGATTAGGGAGGGAACCGGATGCGATAATGGGTACGGCGATAGCGCAATGACGTTCGCACCTCGTTCTGCAAGAGCTGTCAGCGCAACGAGCCCTAATGGCGTAAACGGTCCCTGTAAATTTCGGTTAGCACAGTTCTTTCAATTGCGGGCGATTGGGTACTGCGGGCGAGACGGGTCCGCAGACTCCCGCGCGCGGTCTGACCAAGATCGCGAGTCTGCGAAGAAGCCACGAGAAACAGGATAGTTCTCCGCCATTCTTGCTCACACTTGCGTGAGTGGATTCCCACGAGCTCGAGTATCTGCACAGGTCATCCAGCTAGGGATGTACGGAACAGGTAAGCGCGGGCTAGACCTGAGTGAGATCCGAACTAGTAGGTGGATACCGCCGTTGCTTACATTTCATACCGAAAGTCTAGCGAGGTGCAGCTGGAACATGGGACTGAGTAAACTTTCCCCTTCCTTCATGCAAACTCTTTCGAGTCGTCATGCTTTTGTTCTGGCCCCGCAGAGAATCGTCATCATTGCGCGAGTATGAACAGGGAGACCAGGTTCGGCCGTCCTCGAAGGACATCCGGCGCCGCAACGACGGCATTAGGACAGACCCCATAGCCAGAAACTCGACATTGCTATGCAGCTGAGCCTGCTGCAGCTCCTGACCCATTGAACATACATCGTGCCCGAAGGGCTCAACCCTGCAACCCCTCCGCGGGGTCAACCCGTATACTCCACCAGGACATCCGACCATATACCCGTCCCGAGTCAAACCAAGTACGGGTATAGTCAGAAGAGCGACAGGTAAACCTGGATCCATCCAACATTCAGCTACCTTTCAGATAGCATGGCAGTCCTTCCTTCCACCCCCGCGTTGCATCATACTTCTAGTGTTATAGATGAGGAAGGAGCACTCACCGTGAGTAGAATGACTCGCGCATGGAGGTCGCGCTCTCGTGTAGTAGAGCGTCCCTGCGCATACGCGTAGATCACGACCACGACTGCAGCGGCGACGGCGGCATGGGGCCAGTACCTGACTGGTAGTACTGCTGTTACTGCTGTGTAGAGAACCTGGAGGACCATTAGATCGTCGACGCCGACGACTGTTAGAGCGTAGGCAGGATGTAAAGGTAGAGTGCAAGTCCTCATGCTAACGCTCTCTCGTCATCATGCGGGTCCTTCCGAGAACATCGGAGCGCCGTGCTTCAGCAGGCTAGTGCAGGCGAAGACTTCAGTCATCGTTTGTACCTCTAGGATCCGCTCATCCTTTGGGACGAGATAAATGCAGGGGAACTGTCATGAATGACTGCATACTCCCAACGGGTTATCCCAAGGATTACCGAGGACTTCATGCAGATATCTCCGACACACAAACTGCTACATAAGGACTCAAGGGTACAGATCCCACCAAGAACGCTGCAAGTAGGTAGCGTGTCCAAACCGAGAACTGGGAACTGACTATGCAACTCGGATGTTCAGAACGTCAGTTTTCCAGTATGTTTGCACCATGGTCAAGCCGTGTATGGCGCCACAGTGTATCGGCTCAACTACGCGTCGAACTTTGTGCTTTACGGATTTCCCCGAGAGATTTCGTTTACAGCTACGTCCAAGCGCGCCTCCGGAGGCTTGTCATCGTGCTCCCCGTGCACGTCGCGCCTGGGCGTCAAAACGATATCGGAGTTCTCTGAGTTACCTATAACCCTTCCCAAACTATCACCAAGATATCCTTGGGGCACTTTCACCTCGAGATAAGTGCTTGGGACTCGCCACCAGTAAAGGGGGGTCGATTAGTGCCTCTGGAGGTTTTTTCGCTTACAGCGATGTGCACAATGATACGGAAAACGCATTTTTGTGAGCCAGCGTCTGTTGGGCGCTCGGAGACCCAAGCGCTGTGCCGGGCTGTGGGGCACCCGGAAGGAGCCGGAGACCGAGCATTATCCTGGTCACAGTTGCCCTCCAGGACGGTCCCCAAAGGCTTAACATGGCAATGAGGAGAGCAGAGAGATAAGATTAGAATATATGATGCATAACCGATGTTCCATGAAGCCCCACTGATTCGTTCAGTGAAGAGGAGCCACATTTTGTGCTTCATTGGCGATTGTCATGTCCCTGTAACGATGAGTAACAAAGTCACAGCGGTCAGCGTTTGAGTCCCGTGACCCTCAGCGTCTCTATGAGCGCTGGTCCCCCGCGAAATGCGTTTTCCGTATCATTCTGCACATCGCTGTAAAAAAATTTGGGCGTTTGCCATACCACAGTGCACACCGCGGCGCCATACTTACACGGCTTGACTGCGGTGCAACCATACTGGAAATCTAACGTTCCCCGGATGTTACTAAACAGAAATGTACAACGGCGGCGGCGGGATACGCGCGTGTTCATCCAGCCCGCCTGGGCACTAGACAGATCCCCCGCATCTTGAACACGAGATAGACAACCAACCTACACAGACGAAAACGTACACAATGTCGTCCTCAAACCACGAATTTCGTCCAGACCTCCACCAACCCATCCGCCAACTTCGTCGGCAGCGCCCAAAGGGGCAAGAACGCTTTAACTTCTTCGAACGCCGGGATCGTCCCGCTCCTGCTCTGGCCCTGCGCCGCGCTTGCGTACTCTGCCCAGTCACACGCCGCGCGCCCGCTTAATTCTGGCTCGCCCGAGCCTCCGGACGACTCGGGTTCCCATCCAACTTCGACGACAAACGTCTTCCCCCACGTCCGACTCCACAACCGCGCCTCCTTTACGCCGCCCTGAGGCATCTCGTACCCGCCCTGGAGCTTGCCTGGCTGCTGAAACCTCCCGCTCGAGCGAATGTCGATGTAATTGATGGGCTGGTCAAAGTACAGCCTGCACCCGCGCGTGTTCTCGCCACGAATCGAGATCAGAGCGCGCGTCGCATTCAGCCGCTCCGTTTCAACGTCCAGCCAGTGCACACGGTGAGAAGCCGATGGGGCACCGGGGGGGACGGAGACATTTCCGTAAGGGCTAGGGAGGAGACCCGTCGCCCATTTACAGGTCATGAGATCTGGTCGGAGGCCCTTGGGATCGCAGGACACGTTGGCGTTCCAGGACGAAGGAATGCCGGACGTGATGTAGCGGTCGATGTAGCCTTTCAAGCCTGTCAGCGTCGTTTCGGCGCTGACGACAGTAGAGTGATGTGCGTCTGCGCGCGTGGAGACCAGTGGATTGATGGCAAGGCCGGGAGAGGAGATACTCGAAGTGACCTCGACGGACTGCTGGAAATACACACGGAAGGGAGCAACCTGGGTGAACGGGAAGGTGGTCCACGATCCAACCAGAAGGACAACAAGGAGCGCGGCAACGGCTGCGTTAAGGGACTGAGGCAGCTTGTGCGCGAATGGCGTGACCGGAACGAAGACCAGCACGGAGAACAGCGCAAGTAATTTATACACTGCATCACAAGGTGAGCTCAGGGATCCAGCATGCTTACAAACCGGGACAGCGAACTCACCCAACGCGGGACTGCTTCCGTCGACCAGGGTATGTTGCAATGCGTTTAACAGCAACACCTCCAGCTGTAATACCAATATCACCGTCGCAGGCACCAGCACGAGTATCTGCGCGATCCACCACCCATACTCTTCCCTTTGCTTACCCGCAAGCTCAATCGCCTCCGGCGAGTCCAGAGTAACATATTCCCCACCGCCGTGCGAAATCCGACGGTGTTGGTGCATGAGGGGCGTGATCTCCGTAGGGGCGGTCTCAACCTCCTCTCCTGCCTCCGCATGGTCACCGTTCGTCTGTCCGTCCTCCTGCTGCGAGGGCGCCTCGTACAGCACCCCCCTCACCAGGCGCCGGCCAGAAACCTCACCCTCGGCCTGGGCCTCGCGCTCCTCGTGGGTGCTGAAGAGCTCGCTCTTGTAGCCACGCTCGTTGCCCGGATCGCCGATCCGGCCTGCGCGGACCAGCTCCAGCACGACCGCCAGCCACGCGCCTAGGTACAGCGGGTTGACCCAATAGAGCGATCCGAGGTGCTTCGTGGAGATGGCGACAGTAGATACCAGAAGCAATAGCCAGGAGAACGAGTACAGGGATAGCGTGACGGCCAGCTTCTGTGAGACGAAGGTGGGCGGGAGGAAGTAGTGAAGGGCTTGGAGGGGCACGACAAGCGCGAGGTAGGATGTCGCAAGGAAGACCGCTAGCACCGTGTATCCGCCGGAGTGCACGGTCTGCAAGCCGCCTCAGTCAAGAAGAGCGTAAGAAGGAAAGTCACCAGAACGTACATAGGGGTTCAGCTTCACGAACGCAGTAACGAGAGCCGTATGCACAAGTACGCTGACGATGAGCGCGAGCCAGAAACGCTCCCATCCTGCCAGAGCCTTGACTGCGACCTTCAACTTCCCTGCAAAGCCAGGCGGCACGACGTTTTCCGACACGGAGTCGACAGCTGGGAAGGTAGTCAGCGAGACATGTGTATATAGCCAGGTATGGAGGCGTACAAGAGTGATGCTTGGCGCTCAGAATGACCCAAGCCAACAATCCGACAGCGCTCATGGGCCCGATGATGAGGAAGACAATGTTGAAGACGTAGACTGCGTCCATTGAGAACAATACAAGACTTCGTCCGAGTACTGCACGTAGTCAGCGAGCGAACTCATAAATTAGCGCGCCCGACTTACTGTCGAAGTATACCGAGCGCCTGACATCCTTGCCCGAATCATCGCCATTCAACAAGCCCAACGCGGATCCGCGCACAAGCTCCATCATAGACCAGAGTGCCTTCCTCCCTTCGCCGTGGCCCATTCCGGGTATTGAGTCTCGCCGAGTGTGGTAGTATGCGCGGTTCTTGTAAAACGCAAAGTCGAACCCTTGCAATCCTTCGGCTTCCCCCTCGACGCCGCGCGCATATATCTCATAGTCGGTCGAGCTTCGGATGAGTCCCGCTGAGAACGCGTCGGACGTCAAGACGTTTCCGTGTGGGTGCTGCACGGCAGAGTGGAGGAGGGACTGGGCGACTCCCAGCGAAGTAGAGCGGAAGACGACCGGGCGACTGCATACGCCTGAATCAGCGATATTCAACGACTGTGTTCGCGCGCGTACTCACCCTCCCGATGCAGCTCCCTCCAAGTTGATGAACGTTGACGCCACGTTCGACCAAGGATGCTCAAAGTACGCGTGTGCACCGTTCAGCTGGTCTTCTTCGCCGTTGTTGAAGAAGAATATCGCCGTCCTGCGTGGGCGGCGCTCCGGATGCGCAAAGTACTCCGCCATTTCGAGCACGGTCACGACACCCATACCGTCATCCGTGGCGCCAGGCGCAGTCGAGACAGAATCGTAGTGGCACGAGAAGAGGACGCCGTCAGGCTTGGAGTCGCGAGACGTGAGACGGGTGTCTGTTCCGTCGATCTGAAGCAGGACATTCGTGCCCTCAAAGTATACGGCGTGGTCCTTGGCAGCGATGTAGGTGACATTCGACGTCCTATCATCTGAGAGATGAACGTAGTCGTGGCTGTCCGCGAGCGGCTTGAGACGGGCCAGGATATACTCTCGCACGTCGTCGTTTGCATGGGATATGAACGGGTGGGGACGCGAAGTGATCTAAAAAGGCTACAGCGTCAGGTCAAGATCATTCGGCAGACTGGCGGTGAGCGGTTTGCTCATGATAGAAGGGTCTGATGCTGGAAACCAGATCGAATGTTAACAGGGGAGGTCAGAGTGAGCTATTCTGGCCGATTCTGATGGCGATCCCAGTTCAACTTCATAGCCGAAACTACTTGCGGGAAAGCGGACGCGTTGAGCGACTCTGGAGGAGCTTTGGCTCCAGAAAGGCTGAATTTGCGTCTGCTTTTGGTTGCACGAACCATGCATATACGAGATGTCAATGAAGGATCGTTGTGAGGCGAAGGAGGGTGGTAAAACCCCTCTCGGATTCTTTTGCGCTTTCTATCTTCAATCTGGGCAAACCCAGGAGTCGCCCACTCTGACCTCCCCCCCCCCCAATTTACTCAGTGGCTGACTATGCTCCCCAAGCGGCACAGGACTGGGCTCGAGTCTGCGAATGCCTCGGATGAAGAGTCAACATAGAACTCGCAAAAACAGAGTATAAGGTACTGTCCCCGCCAGCGGGCAGCATAGGTCACTAGCAGCGTGCGAGAGACGGGGCGAGTCCTTGCAGAGTAACCTATTGCTCGATACTCAAAACAAACTCACAGAGGGTGTGACGTACCACGCTCAACGCCTCATATGCACGATCAAGGTCCAGGCCGCAAGTGTTCTTCGGAACGCGAGGCAAGTCGTCGAATACGAGAACACTGGTGAACAAGGCAGCGTAAATGACGACTGCGACAGCAGCGACCGAGGCGGCGGTGAACTTGAACGGGGAGGCCAGTCTTTCAAGCATGGCTGATGTTCTACGACGAGGTGGTAAGTTATGAAAAGTTCCTCAATTGGCTACGCGAGCATGTGTGTAAGGCCAGGAGTCGTGCAGGTGGACGTCGTCGTCGTTGGCGGAGGTGAGGAGCCCACCATGACGCACGTTCGGATAGCGGCCCGAGACCTTGTGTGACGATTGTGACGCCCGTCATAACGCGGTCACGGCCTCTGAATGTTGTGCGCCAGCCAAAAATCTGCCATCCACAGCACAGGCGGCATCGTCAAGGTGAGTATCCTTATGTATCCGCAGATTTTGCTCGTACAGGTCATGCAGAAGGCTCTCGACGTGATAGGAGACTTTTGGGAAGGATTCGGCCAGTATGAGACGTTGGATGGATGGATGGCACTCTGGATGACGGATTGAAAGGGCCGGATTTGGAGCAGGACGGACTCGCACCTGAAGGCTTCATTCAGGTCAATTGCAGGAAGGGGGATACGGTTGGACCAGCTTCACGTCGAGAGCCTTCACGCAAACTTCCGCGCAAGGTGCCTGAAGCCGTCGCTGACACTGCGCCTTTCTTGCAGATCAAGACAATCACCAATGGCCACCACGAAGACTCCGAAGGGTAAGGCGACCAAGGGTGTGTCTCCTACCCCTCTCCGTTCCTTTCTCATCTTATGCGCACACGCTCTCACACAGCGTCGGACAAGGACGCGAAGGCCAAGGCCGCGAAAAAGGCCGCGCTTCACGGCACGCACGCACACGCTGCGCGCAAAGTGCGCTACTCAGTCTCTTTCCACCGCCCCAAGACTCTCCGCCTCCCCCGTAACCCCAAGTACCCCCGGAAGTCCATTCCTCATGCTCCCCGGATGGACCAGTTCAGGACGATCGTGTCGCCGCTGAACACGGAGTCGGCCATGAAGAAGATTGAGGAGCACAATACCCTCGTCTTCATCACTGACATTCGCGCGAACAAGCGTCAGATCAAGGATGCCGTGAAGAAGCTCTATGATGTCCAGGCCGCCAAGGTCAACACCCTGATCCGGTATGTCTGACCAGTGCAAGTCTTTGGCTTCGCCGCTCACATATCCATCGGCTTAGCCCCGATGGCACAAAGAAGGCGTACGTTCGCCTGACGGCCGACCACGACGCGCTCGACGTCGCGAACAAGGTATGTTGTAGGTACAGTCCAACCTAATGCCACATAATTGACATGTGCTTCTCCTATAGATTGGCTTCATCTAAATGCATCTACCTTGTCTGTTCGTCGCTGTCATCTCATCGTATCCCCTTGCACTCTTCACTTCACACTGCCGGGATGCATATGTACTCTGAGCCATTGGTGCTACGTCTGCCGCCGTCCCATGACATGTTCCATGTATGCATACCGCATAATGCCATACGCCCATGCACCAAAGCAATACACTATGCTTGCAAAACAAATTTCTCGATCGTGCTATAGCACACACAGCGGGTATTGACTTCAGATATCCCGTACCACTACACCTAAGACGCGAACTTGACGACATCGAACGTTGACACGTTGACCTCCGACTACCATCGGCCCTTCTCTCCTTTGAGAGTTGTGTCGGAGCATCCCACGGTGGCCTTGTCGAGTAACCTTGTCACTCCAATCAAGGGAGTCACTTTAAGCGTGTGGGAGACATTTCTTCTGGACCACCACTCCGTCTCTACCATTTCGCGCCAGCCTTGTCTAAAACGGTCCTCAAACGGGATGCGATGGCCTAAGGCTCTCCAACGTCTACCTCATCTCCCTCACGTCCGGTTGTTATCAGGCTATGTCTCTACTCTACCTATAATCAACATTCCCAACTCCACCATCTACGAACTCGGCTCGCAAACGCCCACCTTACACTCCATTTCCCTCGTTGTTCATCCGCACGAGTCCTGGGCCGTCGTCAGCGCCGACGCGGCGGCAGGCAAGGCCGCCTTGTTTGGCGCACTCACCGGTACGCATCGTCTCTCGCCTCCCGCTCCGCCACCCGGAGGGCTCTTCCCGTTCCTGGAGGATGCAGACCCGCATAGGTTTGTGCAGATGGTGCGGTTCGCTCATCGGGGCAAGGCAACGGGTGACGGGTTCTACGACTTCACGGCGCGGTACGGCGCGGTGAGGGAGGGTGACCGGCAGACGTTGCGAGAGACATTCTTCCCGGACATCGCGAAGCCGCTGCACCCGCTCGCGATCCCGGACCTGGTCGAAAACGCGGAGAGTGAGCCACAGACAGAGGCGGATAGGGAGGCGAAGGAGAGGAGGCAGGCGTGGTTTGAGTTCCTGTCCGGGAGGCTGCGGCTGACGAACCTGCTGGACTTGCCGATGGTTGCATTGAGCAACGGGCAGACGAGGCGGGCAAGAATCGCGAAGGCGTTCTTGGAGGACCCGAGGTTGTTGCTGTTAGATGAACCATTCAGTGAGTATCTCGGATTTTGCTATGCTTTCTGCATGTACGCTCCACTTTCATTGTTATTGCAAGAACACTTTCGCGACTGTACTCTTCCTACGGTGCGGCGCATAGCGGCAACTTTGATATACCCCCTCAAGGATACCTCCAACATGACAGCAGCTCATAACGTTCCTACTCGCAGCTGGACTTGACGTGCAATCTCGTGCAATCCTGCTCGCGCTGCTTGAGGAACTCAAGAGGAAGCCAGGCTCACCCCATGTCATCATGGGACTTCGTGCGCAAGATCCGCTGCCCGACTGGACGACACACGTAGCCCTCATCGAGGATGGCGGCAAGGTGCACGCCGGGAAGAAAGAGGAGGTCTATCCGAACCTCTTCACTCCCTCCGCGCCGCTTGCGTCGTCCTCGGCGACGCACAAGAGGGAGGACGCTTACAGGGAACGCACCAAGGGCGACGCGCTCATTGATATCACCAGTGTGAACGTCGAGTACGGCCCTCGCAAGATACTGTCGTCTATCAATTGGACGATCCGCGCGAACTCACGCTGGCATCTCATCGGCGAGAACGGCGCAGGCAAGACGACGCTCTTGGCGCTCCTCACGGGCGAACACCCGCAGTCGTACACGCAGTCCGACAACCTACGTTTGTTCGATCGCCAGCGCGCGGAGTGGGCTACGCCGTTCTTGCACAGGCGCATCGGGCGTGTTTCCCCCGAGCTATTTAACGCGTACCCCCGTAGGCGGGGTCTCACGGTTTGGGACACGATTGGGACTGGGTTCGACGGCGGGTTCGTACCTAAAGGCCAGCGGGGGGTCGGGACGGGCAGGGACGGAGAGCCTCTGCTGGCCGGCGGGGCGGAGGAGGAATGGCGCGTCAGCCGCATGCACGAGGTGATGCGCAACCTCGGCCCCAGTCAGTGGCATGCGCACCCGGAGACACTGCCAGATGAAGAATTCTTCAAGCAGTCTTTTGCGGAGCTGTCGCCCGGGGAGCAGTCGATGGTGCTGCTGATGCGTGCGCTGGTGGGCGCGCCGCCGCTTGTCTTGTTGGATGAGGCGTGGGCGGGGATGGACAAAGCAATGGTGCAGGCAGCGCATCGATATCTCCGTGATGGAGGTGGGGGGCTGACGGAGGAACAGGCGTGTGTCGTTGTGAGTCATTGGGAGGAAGAGGTTCCTTGGGGGCCTGAAGAGGGCGTGGAGAGGTACAAATTGGATGGTGGGGAAGGAAAGCAGATATTCCCTTAGGATAACTAAGGTGTTGTTTGTGTCGATCTGAAGACGCTTTGCGATACCATTCATAATCAAAGTAGCGTACAGCACTCAATCGCTCATAGATCCGCTGAGTGTGAAACGAAATCTATTTGGCATATCGATCCACCACTGACCGATGGATGTCCAAAACCTCCTTCAAGCTTTCCTCGAATGGCTTCAAGGGCCTCCTAAGAATCTGCTGCAGTAACGGGTCCACGACGTCCAACTCGCCTCTCTGGAGCGCTTTGAACGTCGTTGCCCATTTCCGCAGGAATTCCTCCTCTCCTCGAGGTCCGTGCTTGCCGCGGTTTCGCCGAACGTATTCGTCCTCGGTGCCGATGACGAGTTTGAGGTTACGCCCGACGATTTGTGAGACTTTCTCCGCGATCTGCGCGAGAGTGATCGATTGTGAGCCCGAAAGTAGGCGGGTCTCATTTTCATATCCGCCCTGTATGTGATCACGTTGAGCATTTCAAACGTCGTACGAGTCAGTGCATCTCCCACCTCGACCATGATCTTGGCAGTGCCCTCTCCGAGGTCTTCTCGCGACACCCAAGCAATCCCTCCGTCACTGTAGGGCACAAGCACCTCGTCGCTCTCCTCCGCAGGGCTCCAGAACCCAAAGTAGAGCGGGTAACTCTCGCTGTAGATCCCCTCCCTTATGATGGTATACGTCAGCCCGCTCTCCTTTAGGTACTTCTCCGTGTCCAGGTGCGCTTGCATGACCTCGGCCTTGCTGTCTGAAGCGAACGCGAGCGAGGTGTAGTACAAGTGCTTGATCCCAACACGCTTGGCCGCGTCGATAGCGTTCTTGTGGGCCGCGACGCGCTCTGCGTGCGCGATGCTCGGGTAGGAGACGAGGAGGAGCTTGTCTGCGCTAGCAAACGCGGCATCCAGCGAGGTGGGTTCGCTATAGTTGCCGCGGCGAATCTCGACACCAGAATTCGTGATTTCGGCTGTCGCCCCGGCGGGGTTGTACAAGGACACAATGACATCGGAGGCTGCGTAAATGCGAAACGACATCGATCAGAGGGATACATACGGCGTAGACTATTCGCTATTCACATACCTGGGACAAGTCTGAGGAGGTACTTGAACACCTGTGACCCGAGGGCACCCGTTGCTCCTGTAAGGACGTATTTGACCATGATATCTTGTGACTTCTAACGATGTAGTAGTCCAAATGACGGATTTCAGGGTAGCTATATAGTCCTGTGGGCCACAACGGCCTGAGAGTATACTTCATCCCAGATGTGGAGACTATGATGTCAGCACTGGATCAGTCAGCAGCTTGAACATTCCTGAATGTCTGGCAGCAATCTCTCTAAGCCGGCCCGCTGGAGGAACTTAGTCATGGTGCAGTCCTCGGTGGCTTGGTCATTGTACTTGGGAAGAAATAGAACTCAGATGCGGTTTGATTAGAGACAATCTAGGAAACGATATAGGCTGGCTCATCTCTTGAGTGCCATGGCAATTGGGGACACAGTCGTCGCGTGCGGGTCAAAAGTGGGTCAAGAGATACACGGGAGGGTCAAACGAGTACTTAGACTTAGACTTCACAATGCCCAACCTAGTCCATGTATGTGCATATGACTCCACGCCCTCTTTCTACAAGGATCCATCTCTATCCCTTCGCTTCGAAGTTCGGAGGGAGGGAGATACAGAGATCCTTGGTAACCACATCCGATAAATTGGGCCCCGAACCTCTAAGGATATCGATGCATTTGCGGCCTGTCGCATCTGACCTGGGGACTCGAATGTGCAAGTACAAGCACGCACTGGGCTTCCAGGAGGAGCCTCAGCATGTGGCGCCATGGTACCGCCGGCAGGTCTCGGTTACCGGATTGCACCACGGTGCCACCACCGAGAACAGCCTCGACACCGCTCCGTCATCCTATCTGAATGCTCCTCTTCATTCAACTGTCATTGATGCTCGTACATACTACCCCAGCCTGCCTTCGATCTGCGGAAAGTGTTGTCTGGCTACCGCATGCGCTAATTATAATATGCTTTAATGGGAAAGAATGAAGGTGGACGAATGGTCGGTTAGCGTTGGATCTGACCGTCGGCAGTTCGGACCATCGCGAAGGCCGCCAAGGCGATGAGCTGTGCGCTATGCTGATACAGCGGACGTCCGCGGGGGTGCGTCTCTTTCCTTCTCACCTCTAGGTTGTGGTCATACTAGCCGGCGTTAACTGCCTTGGGTTTTTCCAATTCTTTCACGAAGTCGTATGCGGCCACCTTGCGTCCAGTAAGTTCCCAAGACCCTTGATTATTCAGCTCCATGGTGAGTGCGCAGTACGTGTCTATGTGGCGCGCAGCGTGAGGTGTAACTGACTGAGGGCGGCCCGCTTCTACACTCTAGGTCTCTACAGGATGGCGGACGGCGAGTGCGGTCATTATCATAGTTGTCGGGTCCGCCCTCTTCACGTTCGCCGTGTTTGTGTACCGACGGCGGAGATACCTACGCCAGGACCCGCATAGACCTGAAATGCGGCAGCGGTTCATGAGGTCGCATGCGGATGACCCAGAAGCACATGTATCCCTGCTACGCGCGAGCGACATGACGCCTCCAGTACCACCAAAACCGCCCACGATGTCGCACGGCCGGAGTCTCTCTGGTCAAACACCGACGTTCCCGACACATGGAAGGAGTTTGTCGAATGGGCCGACGAATGAGTGGGGAGAACCTGACCGCCAGAGGACGCGCTCTACCCCGACTCGTGTCCCAGTCCCACCCATGTTCCCTGAACATCAGGTCGTTGTAGAGCGACCATCCTACGATGGTGAAGGGGGTGCACCTATTTCCATGCCGGAGCCCTCTCTGTCCCACACGCCATCGATCTTCGAGCGCATCCAGTTGCCCCGGATACAGTTCACCACGTCGGGAGGAGGACGGAAGGGAAGATTTCCTTCGCTCCAAATAGCGTTCGTCCGTGAGTCCAATCAGGTCATCTCCTCTCCTGCCGACGGATATCATCCGCCACCAAACAACGAGGGCCCCCCGCTCAGTGCTTCCTCCGGATCCTCCTCTCTCGGTCGGCCTTTTGCGACCATGTCCACATCCCCTCTTCCGCACATCAAGCCAGTCTCGCCCATCTCGATGACCCTGTCCACTGTCTCCGTCTCTCGCCAGTCCCCATCCACCGTCGGACCGCGGTCAGACACGAGCACTGTCGACACGCCATCGCCTCGGGAGCCTTCGCTCCCAGCTTCCACATCATCCGACATCACATCCCCAAGTGACTCGAGACTCGGCTCACCGGCGAGTATCAACACTGCCGGGCTCGACGATTTCTCACGCAACCTATTCTCGCGGAAGCTATCTACTGAGGGCGGTCACACGTCCTCCGGCTTCACCCTCTCTCGCGGCTCCTCCTGCCAAACTGGCCGTCCCACGTCAGACCCGGGTCGGCCGGCACGGCAGAGCTCTCTGTCTTCGGGATCGGCTTCGGCTTCAGGCTCGTCGTCGAAGGCAGCCAACCTCCGGCGTGCGAGCACCTGGGTCCCGAACGTGCTCGCGAGCTACTCGCCCTGGCACAATGTTGTCCCGGACGCCCTCACAGATTCTTCTTCCAGACCAGGAGAGCGCGAGCGGGGCGACTCGCAGGTTGAGTCCCCCACAGGCCAGATCCGCGTTGCAGATGCGTACAGACCCATGCCCACGCTCGAGGAGAACCCGTCCGAGGTTTCTCCCGTCACGCTGGCGTTGTCTCTTCCTGAGTCGCCTCCTTTGCAGGCTGTGCGAGATTCGTTACAGCCGGGGTGGCAAGAGCAGGATGAGGGGCGTCCTGCAGCCGAGCCGCCTGAGTCTGCGGAGCGGGTGTCCAGTAGTAGAGTCTCTTGGGGATCGGTGCATGAGCTGTTGGCGCAGGTACAGAGGGAGTCGACTGAGATGTTACCGTCTCCACACGATGCCTCGCCCCCTCAATCGCCTTCCGTACCGCATGTGTCGTAAGGGCCACCGTGCCCGGCTTCATGACACGAAGGTAGGCGCGAGGGTGGTAATTAGACGTGTCATGGTGGTAGCAGGGCTCTCGGGCACGGGCTTCTACATGATTGGACTAGGACTTGACGTTACTGCTGCCCACGCGATATGGACGCATTTGGAAGACCTGCATTGTAATCCCATACCAATCGCCGCATATATTTATTTTGGTCGTAGATACAGGATACCTTCCTTTGCTTGGATGGCATCCACGGCCCCTAAATTGCGGTCCTGCTCAAGCCGAATGTCCCTGATCACGCGTTTTTCAAAGCTGAACTTTTGAACGTTGGGCAGTGGATTCGAACCTACGGGTGCTGGTCGATCTCCAGATTCAATCCCGAACACAGCACACGATACTTACGAACTGTCGTGGCCGAGCTCTTAACACGGCCTTTGACGAAAAACCTGAAGCGGCCGATGGCCGTACACTGATTAAGTCCGGAGTAAGTGTGGCCCGGTATACAGTGCAAGGGCACGCTCGTGGGGGGCGTCATGCCATATACAACGTGTAGAGATGTATGTCATATCCCTAGCATAAAGGATCCATAGAGTGAAGCATAAGCATAGGTGGACATGAAGATAGAGCATAGAGGGGAAGCAATATAACGTCCGCACAAGTGATAAGTCTCGTACACCCCAATAACGAACATTTGCTTTATCACTGCTCTAGCATCTCCGACCCCTCCCTCGTCCGTCTGTTGATCTCCTCGTCCGTTAGGAACGCCGCCTCAAGGCCAGCGACGAGCCATCGCCCGGCGGACCTGAACACCCATGCAGGAGGGGCGGCGTAGCCCACCAGGACATACACCAGCTCCTCCAAATCTCTCAAGACGATGGCGCCGACTGCGTACAAAGCAAGTAGCGCGATCTCCAACGTGCGGAAGAGGATGTAGGGGGAACAGCTCAGGAGGAACCATAGGAAGTAGGGGATGCCAATGGCCAGGTTGGACAGGACAAGTAGTAGCCTTGCCACAGTCAACCCAAGAAGTCGCGGGATAGTTTCAGAGACGAAGGGTCGCATATGGTACCTGACGTAGGCACGATATTGCCGGGCGGCCAGCAACGGCTGAGAGGGACGCTCTGTGTTCAACATGCTCAATGAGCCTGTCCACACTTGACATCTAGCAGGAACGTACCAACAACTCCAATGACTCTGTGGCCATCGCTGAGCAGGACATTGATGGCAAGCGCGCTGAGCTTTTCGACTGGGTGCCGCCACAGAGCCAGCCTGTCACGATTAGCATCGATAACCTGGCTCAGATTGGAGTTGACGTCATCTGGAGACAGAAGAAAATAGTCAAGGCGCGTACGAAGCAGTTCTCCATGCCCCAAGAATCTTTGATCACTCTCAGGTCCGCGCATCCCGTCTCATCGACAGGCACATCCATCCACAGTTGCCCAAAGCCTTCCGGCCACACCCTGACAGATTCGACATCTGGGTACCATTTGACGCGAATGACGCTGGGGAAAACGCGTCACGTCGGTGAGGATGCATCAGCGGACCGCAGACTCACCCATCTTTCGGTGGGCCAGTTACTGGGCTCTGCCGCAAAAACGCTCTCCTCGCACGTTCCCCCGGCCCTTGCGGCGCGAACACGAACAATCTCGCCACGGTGAACGCGTATTGGACGCGAGATATTGCGACTGCTTCCCATTCGCGCCGGACTTCCGCGTATGTCGCCTCCTCGATTGTCTCGCCAATCTTCCACCTGTTATCTGCCCATAGCGCCGCCTGCTTGGGATGAATGAGAGTGTAGGCGAGAAGGGCCATGTAGCGAGAGAGGCAAGAACTCAGGTCCCATGGCTTGGAGCCCGGCGGCGGCGTGGTGAGGACATAGACCACCTCCGCGAAAGGGGGTTCTCGCTCCTGCACGAGCTCTTCGTACTCTCGCCGACAGATGATTCTCGTGGCCATGGTCAGCACGAGAGGAAGCCCAGCAGTGACACGAGAGAAAGGACGGAGAGATCCCTAGGGGATTGCAGAACAGCGGGGCGGCTACTTCAACATGTTCCGAGGGATGGCCCGGATGGGATGCATGTCTCTCAACGATCTGTCAAGGCAGTACAAGACTTTCAACGCGTTGCGAAGCATCGGTGTCCTGGTTCACTGCAGCCTCGCGGCGCACACTTCTGCATTACAAAGGCCGGGGCCCTCTTGAGCCCTTGTACTTGAGCGCCGTGGAAACATGGAGGCCGAATACAAGGCGACGATTTTCTCATCACATCCTACAAAATTGCAGTCCCTCAGTCCAGGAGCAAAATATAGGTTCTTTGAGCTACACACCCACTTAAACAGTGACCTCAGCTACTATGCGCGACGCATGTAGCACGTCCCCGCAACCAGGAGCGATGCAATTCGGAGCAACTCGCGTATAATTGACTCCAAGCTATCCCGAGCTCTCTAGCACTAGCATGGTTCGTGAATGAACGTGAACGAGGAAGCTGAAAGCGGATGTTTTGGACGATTGTCAATGGATGTGGTGGTCTACGGTCTACCAAGCTTGCCGATTGGAATCGGCCTGCGCGCCTCAACAGGTCTTGACACGTGCGTGACGACCACAATATGTGCTTACTTAGGCTGTTCTTGTACCTCTGTCGCTGTGAACTGCCTCGGAATTTGCCCTTCGCACACGTTCCGCGCAAGGGTCGACCGAGAATGCGATGCTCTCACGGCACAAATCGTAGCAATATGTACACTAATGCTCGTCAAATAATGGCAAGCCACTGGGTAAAGACCGGGCCAGCGGGAGTCGCCGCGGCTTTCGTTCCTTGTTTCGGCGAAGACGGCTGACTATCGGCCAACTCAGACTCGTAACTGCTCTGTATAACCGAAACATACCCAGATTGACATACAACATATGTTGCTGTACGCAGTGACGCCATCAAAGATCGCACGCAAGGCACTACGCGCCCGGAATTCTATATATGATTCAAGAGAGACCGTATTTAGAAGCCTAAGCGCCTTTGATGAAGTCATAACCCGCAATCCCCTTCGCTCCACTGATTGTAGGTTTACATGTTAGGTTGCAGCCACTGCCACAGAGATGTCGGTCAGTCTAAACAACAGTGCACGGCTGGACTCATTGCTGATAACTCATCGCAGAAATTCGTAGATCCACTTTGCCAGCAAGAAGGTGCGTGCCACGATCTCTCAACGCCAAAAGAAACTCTGCGTGAAAAGCTTACGTCAAATTGTACTTGCAGCATGCTCCTTGCAAGCGTGCTTGAAGAAGAACACGTATAGCCCCGAGAAATGTGATGACTATGTTCGCAAGCTGTACAGATGCTGCTGGGCAATGTACCAGCAAACAGATGGTAAAGGGGAGTCGACCGCTTGCCCGCTCCCAAACGTCACTCGTCGCTGGCTGGAGAAACATGGAGAGAGCTTGAAATGACTGTGTATGATAGCGACGACAGATACCAGGGTGTTCGGCTCCTTGTCATACCTTCACGTGTACGGTAGGATTCCGTAGGCTACAACAGGTCGGCTAGACTTGTGATGGGCCGACCTCAACACAATCAGGGCATTATTCGAACAAAAACAACAGAGTGACATCTACGAGCGAGGCTCTTGCGGCCCCATACAACAGCTCAGAACGGCTCCGCGTCGGACCATGCACTGGTGACCGACTCTGTATCCTCCTCCCGCACCCTCATGACGGGGATGACAGTGACCCCACGTGGCAACCCGACGTCCTCCTCATCCTCGTCCGCATTCTCATCCTCGCTTTGAGTGCCAAGCTCGTCCTCATCAACCATATCCGCCCACCGTGCTCGCGCGCTCTGCACAGGCTGGGCTTGCTTTGACGAGCCCTGAAATACTGCCGCCGTCATCGTAGAGTCGTTGGACGCTCCGATATGGCTCCGTATCGGAACCTTGGCAGACGGCTTCTTCGCTAGCCTGTCCGGCGATAGCTCTAACCCTGATATGTTCAGCTGTTCAACGTCAAGGCTCTTGCTAGGTTTTGCAGGAGACACAGAGCGCACGTCGGTGTCGATGGTTCCAGAGGGTATAGGGGATACTGCAGATGGGATGTGCGTGGAGGCGGTGGGCGTAGATACCAACGGAGGCGCAGATGATACGGCCCCGACGAGCTTGCTCGCGCCCTTGCGTAGGTGGGGCGGAAGAGCCCTCGGCTCTGGATTCGTCGCAGGGCCGCGTGCACCAGGGGACGACGAGGCACGGATGAACTTGCCCTTGACCGTCGTGAGTGGAATGTCATCGCGCAGCCGCTCGACCGCGGTATCCCTCTCGGGACTTGCAGACCCAGCACGACTGGACGCCTCGGACGAGGCGTCGCTCGCGCTTGCGCTGTCGCTCGCGACATCCGAGCCCGAGTGCGCTGAGCGCCTCTCGCGGTCTTTGTCGCGTCCGCGCTCCCGCTCTCGGCGCTTGTTCCGCGCCTCCTTCTCTTCCTGCATTCGCTTCATCCGCTTCTCCATCTCCTCTTGACGCTTGCGCCGCGCACGAGCACGACAGACCCCCCTAGAGCACATCACGCCGTGTACCTCGCACAGCTCTGGGTCTAGCGGCGCGTCCGTCTCACCATAGCCTGCCCAGAGTGTCTCTACATCTTCGGAGGGGACGGCACTTGAGCCCTCGACGACGCAATCGCCCTTTGGGATGTCGGCCCCGTGGATCGCCGGGACAAAGCGAGGGGCAAGGCCCGGTGGCGTGAGAATAGCAGGCATGGGCACCCAATCTTCTGACTGGGATTCAGAGTCGTCGAATGGCTCAGATAGCGGAGTGAAAACCGGAGTGCTGCGGTTGGGATATGCAGACGTCGCGGCGGTAGTAATTGCGGCGGGCCGTGCGAAGGGGGCAAGGATAGGTCTGTTCGTGCTGCTGGCGTCATTGTGGAACAGGCTGGCGGGGAGAGGACGACACAAGGGGTTGCGCGAGATGTCCTTGTCCAGAGGCGGCGTGCAGAAGCGTGGCAGGGGGTATGGATAGACGACGTTGCTGCGGCCGGCGACGTCAGATAGTCGACTGGGCGCAGAGGCGGGGAGACTTACCTATCCCTCTCGGGGTTCCAGTTGCGGAACCAAGAGGATTGGATATCTCTCCTAAGCCACATCACTTTCTCAATGGACCGTTGTGTAGTCATCTTGCACGGGAAGATCTTCGAGACTTCGCTCGCGCTCTTCTCACTCGGGGCCTTGAGGAATTCACTCCAACGATGCTCGCCGAGAAGAAGGCGTAAATCAAGGAAGCCATCCTTCGGCACCTCGATGATGACCACGTTCGGAGACTGTTGTGAGACTTCTGATCAGCCGTTCAGACAGCGGAGGATGAAGGAAAGCCGTACATTGGGCTTGTGATAGAAAGCGTACAGGTTTTCCTGTCCGATGATGCATGCGATCCATCGCGCGACCGTCTTGCTGTCCTCAGTGCCCAACTGAGGCAGTTGGGGGTACGGATTGACGACCGTAAAGTATTGAGTATCGTCCGCAGGAGGTGGCGTTGCTGCACGTTTCGGCATCTTCGGAGGCTATACGGCGTCGCAGAACTTCTCGACGTAGTAGGATGTGAGTCTTGAGCACCGGTTAGCAAATGTGGGGTGGACGTGAGATGACAACTGAATGAGCCTTATATGAGACAGGCCATATCATGACCTACCGCATTGTACCGTAGCAACTTAGCTGAAGTGGAGTGGCGCTGGTACAATGCGAACAAAGCGGCCTGCAGCAAGTGTTTCACGTTCAGCCCTCTGCCATTAAAGCGATAAAGAGCTAAGTAGGACTCTGAGGACAAGGCCTCGCTTAAGTATCTCCCACCTTGATCACTACCTCGAAGGTCGTTCATTAGGAGTCTTTCCTCTCCCGCCATGAAGAGAAAATGAATCAAAATTATCACCACCCGGAGCGTTGCTTTTCCCGCGACATGACGATCTATGGACGGCCGACTTCTAAATGCTGCAGCTGGGCATCAGCTGTTCAACATTTGAGTGGCAATCATCTCGGCACGACCTCACCGAATGAAGGACATTCCGCATGTCCGCCTGCAACCCTAGAATGACATACCCTCTGCTCGTTCTCTCGGATGCCCCACTTATGACCAGCACACGCGAAGCAATGGAAGCGGTGACCATGGGAAAATGTCCTGCTTCGAGACGTCAACCTGCGGTAATTTGGACGGCCTTTCCGGTCGCTTTTCGAAACGTTCGCGGCAAGCTTGCGGAGCGAAAGTCCATGTTCACCTGGTATGGCGTGTACGCAGGGTCAAGTGCTGGTTGGCGGATCAGACCAAGCGGCAAGCCGAAACACAGCATCCTAAGTCGTTCGGTGAATTGATGGTGCTTACTTATGTACAGTCGACACCCTCTTAACCCATAGCCCTCGGGACAGGCCCGAATATATGGGTTTTGAGGGGTTATGGGCTACGAGAACTTAAGCGCCTCATAAGCGCCCCTGATTAGTCCCAGTTAGCGAGCGCTGGAAAGGCGTCTACTGACCCTTTGAGAGAGCGCTATGAGATTTCGAACAGACTCACCTACCCACAACGTGGTCGGAGCATGGATGGACACTGGGAGGACTCTGGGAAGCATGCATCGAGTATTGCAAAGGTTATCGATGAGCGTAATCTCAATGTGAGCCCTATTACCGTATGGGTTTTGGGCCCTAGAAAGCTATGGGTTATTGGGTACCAGGGGCCTATGGGTTATGGGGTCGAATTCCCCCTATCCCGACTTGGGAAAGCCAAAATCCTATGGGTTTCGGGAGTTTATGGGTTACCAGGGGTATGGGTTAGGAGGGTGTCGACTGTAGTAGGGATTCAACCTTAGGCCTTATCATTGACAGATCTTACCTCACAATTGATGTATTTGTAAAGACACTTTACTTCCCGATGATGGGACCCTGATGAGCTTCTATCAGATTGAACGGGCCTACTTGTACGTGCGCATCCCTGCCCGCGAGCACGACTTGGCTCTCTCCTCCAACGTCTTCGACGGCCCTAGGGACACGCCCGCCACAACACGTATAGACGCATCAATAAGATGCCTAAGCGTCTTCCCACGCCTGAGATTGACGATGGAGCAAAGTATCTAACCGTCGTCAACCCGTATCCATTTCGCCCGAACATGTACCTCCCCAAACCTCGCGAGCTTTTCGCGCAGTGGATCGCGGCATGCATTGGCCCCAGCATCGGCCCCAGATATCTTCGCGCATTCTATCACAAACCAACAGTAGGTTCACAGCGTGGACAGACGAGCGGGTCATGTGTTCACCCGTAGCGTTCGCTCTGTTAGTCCCCAGGATGCATTATCGTCGAAGTCGACGAGTCGCTTCCAAGCTTCAGGGTGTTGCTTGGGCTACACAAATGGTCTGAGTTCTTGAAAAACTCCAAGGGCCACGAAGAGACAGTGTCCGGGGTATACTACTGTACATACGGATCAGACCGTGACGTGCAAAAGAACGGTGAGCCTTCTTGCACTTTACCTTGTTCCACATCTGATGTTGCGTACAGGATGGCTGCGCATCGACGTGGAGGACGGGTGGTTCCTGAAACCTACGAAAGCGTGCGTCTGCCCTGAAGAGTAAGTACTGGCTCTAGCTGAACACCCGCTGGCCGTGCAGTTTCGTTGTCCCTTACCCGTCGACATACTATTGCGACGTCCCGAAGCCCGGAAGAGACGTCATCCAAAACGATCTCTGTCGTCCGTTGCCAACTCAGAGCTTCCCGCCTCCTCCGCCGCCCCGGCCAGCGCCCGTTGTCGGTACGCCCGAATGGCAAGAGTGGAAGCAGAAGCAGGACTCCGTGAAGCAGATCCGAGCTTGGACCCGCAATGGCAGGTCGGAGATAGTCACTCCAGGCCCAGCAGCTATGCAGGCCCGTAAGTTCCTCTTGCCACTATATCTTCCCATTCCTCATCCCTCTTACCTAGGGAGCAGTGGTCCGACCATTCCACTTTCTCTGAGTGTACCCCCTGGGCTCGCCAGGGGAAGTCCCTCTACGAGCAGTAGCAGCGGATCGACGATTAGTGACGCTGCGGTCCTCACTCCGACGGATGACTTCGATGGCGATGAGTTTCCACGTGTCGGCATGGTCAGCGAGAACGTCCAAAGTGCGCTCGAGGCTTTGACTCTGAACGGCGGAGTTGATGACGAAGATGAGGATGTGTACTACACTGTGGCTGACAGCGAAACCCTAGCGGGCGACGCCCTAGAGGCGAAATACGCGACTATCCTCGACAAGGAGGTGGAGGTGCGGTCACTCTGGAACGACTACGTCCCACCTGACGACGGCCTCGACGAGGACGACGATGAAGAAGACGACGAAGGCATAAAGAAGGCTGCCGCGAAGAATCCCGAGCTCTGCAAAGTGCACCACATCGTCTGCAAGAAGGGCATCTGCCGTGACTACGCGATCCAGCTCGCCCAGAAGCGCAAGCGCGACCGCCTGGAGGAGATCCGCAAGGAGCGCGAGAAGGCGGCCGCAAAGCGCGAGAAGAAGAACGCAAGGCAGAACTTGTCCGGCACGAGCACTCCCATGTCCGCGTCCGGGACTGCGAGCGGCGCGACGAGCCCATCGGGCGCGCGTTCGCCCCCGCCGCACTTGCGCGCTGGAGCCCCACGCCAGCTCCCCCCGCACCTCAAACCTGGTGCGTCTGCTGCCGCCATGCCCAGGTCCACGCCCGTCTCGCCTGTTGTAGAACATGGCCGTGACGGACGAGTCACCCCGACGCCTTCGCGCCGACAAGACGACGATGACGATTCGCACTCGGTCGCGCCCTCGAGCGTCGGCTGGGGAATCATGTCCGACACGCCCTGGGGCCCCGAGGTGAAGCAGAAGGGGAACGACTGGGGGGTAACTCCGGTGAAGGCAGCTCCTCGCCGCAACCCCGCCCCTGTGTCGAACGTCAACGCTGCCGCGAGCAATACGAAAGCATGGGGCGCATGGGGCAAGGCGCCGTCGATCTCCGCGTCATCTGTGCGGCGGAACAACGGTGGCTGGTCGATTGGCTCGCGCACTGAGACTGGTGACGGTGACGATGACTGGCCGACTGCTGGCCAAGTGAAGTCTGCCGCCCCGGCGCGCGCACCCGATAGCCCCTGCCCTACCCGCGAATTTGGCGCGTGGGGCAAGGCCCCATCCATCTCTGCGTCGTCGGTACGTCGGAACCACGACAGTTGGTCTAACAGCGGCCGGAGCATCAGCGACAACGGGGAAACTCGGTCCGTCGCGGCGAGCGAGGGTGCTGGTTGGGGTGCAAACGCTGGCGTCAATGCCGACGCCAACACTGACGGGCCGTGGGGTAGCACAGACGCGGTCAAGGCTGCGAGGGCAACGAGGGTAGCGGGGAGCAACGTCGACGGGAGGAAGAAGACATGGGCGGAGTTGGTGGACGACGAGTTGGACGGGCTCGATGGGCGGTCTGTCGCTGCGAGCACAGAGAGCGGCCAGACGTGGGGGAACGTTAGTGCGGGCCCGTGGTGAGTGCCAAACGAACGGATGAAGATTCTGTGAAGTGTTTTCCTGCTTTTCTTGCTGTACTCGTCTGACTGCTATGAGCTATGAATGTCCTGCATCCCGAGAAACCCTGTCCTGCTGTGCACACGACTGTATTGTCTTACTCTGTCTCCGTCTGTCGTCTACCTTCTGTATTCGCTTATTTTCGGAGGTGCATCTCATATCCACATCCGTGTTATTGGACCTCCTAGCGTTACGCAGCCTTCTGCTTTGCACGTCCTCGTACATCTCATCTAGGTTTCGAAGATTACTTGCTGTATTACAAGAGTACTGACATGTGTGACTCAATTATTCGACTTTTGACAAATCAGACAACATATTGACATCGTGACAACAAGCACCAAGCACAGCGATGAACGATAGACTACACATCCTAGCACAGCAACATATCATGTATAAAAATCAAGCACGAGGCATCTCCAATGCGTATATCACCACTCCTGGCTCTCGCTTGGGAACGGCTTCTGCGTCAACAACTCACTCGGGTTGACGTACCCGTAAGCCTCGCTGTACCCTCCCCCATCCTGGCTCTGGCTCTGGGACGCGAGAGAATCCGCGTTCGGCTCGCTCTTGACGTCCCTCGCTGCAGCCTGAGACTGCGTCTGCGACGCTTGAAGCTGCGACATCACCTGGCCCCGTCGCGGGAGCGGCAGCACCCCCGAGCGGAACGTCCCGCGCGTCCCCGTCGCTGGCCCAGCGGATATCTGCAACGCCAGGGGTGCAGAAGCCTCGTCCGGCTGTTCGTCGACAGCAGGGAGCCCTCCGGGGTTCGCGTTCGTGCGCGTAGCTTTGCGACCGGCGCCGCCGGCGGAAGGCGGCTTGGACGTCGCGCGCCGCGGTCCCGCTGCTGACGGTTCCGCACCGGGCTGCATCTCCGACTGCGTGCCCGTGTACGTGTCGGACGACGCACGGCTGCGCGTCGTCCGCCTCGGCAGAGGGAGGATCTTAGTCTGCGAAACTGGTGGAGGAGCAGGAGCCGGAGTTTTGGACCGGCTGCGGAGCGTGCGCGTCGAAGGCGGGACTTGAGCAGCTTGCGCTGAGTGCGAGTTCGAGCGTGTGCGCCGGCGCGAGAGGGGAGGGGAGGACGGGTTGGAGGAGTGCGGGTAGGCGAGCTCCTGCTCTTGCGCCGAGGGCTCAACCTTGAGCTCGGGCACTTGCGTCCCTGTCTCCGCGGGGAGTACCGGATGCGTGGACTCAACAGCGTGCGAGCCCACGTACGACTGCGGTTCGAGCTGCGAGGAGGGCTCTGACTGCGTATGCGGGCGCGCCGAGGATGACACGGACGAGCTGCCGCCCGCGTTTTGGCTGTCGTGTGCACGCGACGCGTGAGACGGGGCTTGAGAGGGCACGGGGGAGGCGACGTTCTGCGTCAGCGCGTCCTCGACCGCCTGCGCGGAGCCGTCAGACGCCGCTCGAGGGCTGTACGCCGAAAGTTTGCTCGGGGAGGCTTGAGGTTGCGGGTGCGAGAGCGTCGGAGAGGTTGAGAATGGCCGCGGCTTGTCTGGAGAGGGCGACGGACCCGAACCTGTCCTACGTGGAAGCGAAGACGCCGCTGGCCGCGCCCCCAACGTAGAGGAACTTGGCTTCCGGTCGACAATGGGCGACGCTTGATTTTGCTCGCTCGAGTGATTGATCGCGTCATTGACCATGTGTGTCAGACTCGGAGAGGGGGGGACTGACGCCGCGGACGGGGTGGACCTGGGCGAGGACTGTGCGGTGTACGACGCGAAGGACGTGCGGCGGCGCTTCGCTGAGGGCACCGACGAAGCCGGTGAGGGGTCCGAGAGCTGGACCTTGGGAGATGGGTATGCATTGAAGCTTGCGCGTGGATGCGGGGGCTCTCTGCGGATATCTGAGGAGGTGGAGGGCGATCGCGAACTGGACGGTGGACGGTGGAGGTGGGATGGGATGGGCGGGGGGGTTACAAGAAAACTCGAACCACCGCGCACGGAAGCAGGATTGCTTCGTCGTGGGGGCACGGAGGCGGAGTTGCTTCGTCGTGGAGGCACGGAGGCGGAGTCGTTTCGGCGCGGCGGCTCATCGACCTCCATGCGTGTCCGCGATGAAGACCGGGTGGTTTGGGTATGGCCTGGGACCGCTGCCAGGAGGCTGTCTACGCAGGGAACGGGTGGTTGGTTCAGTGAACACACGGGCACAATCATCGACACGCACCTGTAGCCCCGCTTCTTCCCTCAGTTGAACGCAGATATGCGTCGAGGTCGCGCTTCCTGACCTGGAGGATGTTGACCTCGTTCAAATGGGATTGTTGCAAATGTCTGCGGAGATCCCTGCCGTCGCGAAACGTCTCCGGACACCAGTTCCAGTTGCAGCTCCACATCTTGGGCACCGCAAATTGGACTTGGTCCATCATGCCAGAGGTCGTCGCAGATCGGTGAGATATGACGGGGCGTGTGGTGTCGATGGTGGCGTCGATGACCGACTTTCCCGGCGGTGTGCTATAAAGCCCAGAATATTCCTGAGGTTGGCGAGAACCTGCGATACGCTCGCTGTTAGTGCTGTAGGACGAACGAAGCGCCCCGAGGATAGCGTTGGCAGCGATGTCGGAGAATGAGAGCAGGTTGCAAACTGACGGCTATCATTCTATAGCCTTTAGCGCCCGTTGCACTTGCACAAAGTATGTTCTTTTACCATCGTATGTACTCGCTCACTTTTGTCTCTTGTATCAGACCTTTGGAACAACTAGCCTATCGCCCTCAGCAATATGGAAGCAGCGCTGTGTCACTGTCACCATGACGATAGTGCGTCAATGTTAACGTTCAAACGACATCAGTAAGCCCTCGAGAAACTTCGTGCTATGTCTACCCCCTGGAACGACGACTTTTTCATTCTTGAACTGTGCCTGGATCCCTGCTCTGAGTACTCCTAGTGTAAAGTGGCTCGAACCCGCCCGTCGAAGCCATTACACCACAAGGCAGTGTCACTAAGAAGTTAAGTTCTCAACCACCGGCGAGTAGATGTGCACATTACCGGGCTTGATCGTGCTTAGTGTGACCGCCACCCTTACACCTAGTAGCCTTTTATACGATGCCGTGCAAGGACCCTCTGTCAGACACCTCCGTCTCATACCTGGGCCCCAGCAGTTTGTATGACCTGCCTGTCACCGTGCAGAAGGGACATCAGCGAATCACTGTCTCCGTCTACAGCAACATTCAAAGTTGAGAGTTTCTGCACATGTCATCCACCCCAATACTGGCCATCAATGCTGTGTCGTTCCCTGTATGTATGTTCTCTAAGCCTATCGGCTCCGGAGCTCATTTTTCAAACGTTACAGCATGCGGCGCGTGGGTATTGAGGATGGTGGAGCAAGCACGGAGTGCACGCGCCGGGTGCACTATACTCAACGCCGATTGGTTCTATTTCTGCATTGGGAGAACGCTCAAACAGCAACAGATTGGAACAGAATGGAACGCGCACAAATATCAGGCACACGAAGTTCGGCATGTTCTCTGCAGTTGTCTATCGACCACGACCACCCCTGCCTCCGTGCCCTCAATCTTCCCCTCTCTCCATACCTCCCGTTCCCCGCCTGCGTGCTCACCTCACTCCCTTTTATTTGCAGGCCCCACACTCTTTCGAACTGACGATCTCTCCCAGGCACGCTCACTTTCGCACTCCACTCGCTCTTTCGCTCCAGAACCCTCTTCGAATCCCATCCCGACTTGAACATGCATCTATCCGCATCTGTCGCCCTGTTCGCCCTGTTCGCCATTCCGGTACCCTTCGTCAGGGCGCAAGTGAAGCCCAACAACCTGGCGGCGGCTTCGACCTCGGGCGCACTCAGTGCTCTCAAGTACACCAAAGTCGGCAGCACAGGCTCGTACAACCAGGTCACAGACATCATCCCTGGAACGTTCCCCACCTGCTCCGCCAACCCGTTCTGCATTACGACCCCCAAGCAAATCAGCGGTACGTCCTCTGATCCTAGCGCTCATGCGGAGATAGAGAGCTGACATGGACCCGCTGCGCCTGTGCAGGGAACCTGGCGCCGTTCGATGATGAGATGACAGTGGTGTTCAGGGGCCCCATGAACTTGTATGATATCGCCGTGTACCAGTCGACGAACGCAAGCTCTGCCAGCTGGAACAAGGTCAGCTCGTGGACCGCCGGTCAGCAGCCGTCCAACCTCGTGTTCATGAACAACAACGGCGGCGACGCCAGTGGCGAGTGGTCGAGTGCGTTTCTGTTATGAAGTGATGCCGTTTGCCACGTGGCTGACGCGTTTGCAGTCTGCGCGGGCTCGAGTCAGTCGTACGCCAACGGTGCGTGGACAGACGCTACGACGGCTCCGAACAAGGAGGTCGCGAACGGCTTCCTCGATGAAGACCACGAGATGGCACGTCCTTCTCCCTCTCCTTATCATTCTCTATCCCGATCCTAACCTTATCCCAACACAGAACATCATGACCGCCACATCCTGCCAAGAAATCTCTTGCGCAGGCTTCTCGCGCGGTACCGCGAACCACGGTTGGTCAGGCAGCAAATTCTTTGTCTTCACCTTCGACATGCCTTCATCTTCGTCTTCTACCAAGACTCCCGCTATCTGGGCGCTCAACGCACAGATCGTCCGTGCCGCGCAGTACGGCTGCAACTGCCGCGGGACCGGCCCCCAAGGCTGCGGGGAACTCGACATCCTCGAGGTCCTGAACAATGACCCATCCGCGAACATCAACCAGGCGATCTCAGAGATCTATTCCCCGAAGGGGGCGACGGGGACGGGAAGCGGAGGGTTCTTTGCGCGCCCGACGGATGGCAAGGTCACCTATGGGGTCATCTTTGACGTTCAGACAGACCAGATCGCGATCCAGAGGTATACGCAGTGGGACTACACCCAGGGCCAAATCACCAGGAGCCTAATGGAGGGGTACCTCAGTGCGCCTGCGCTCGTTGTGCCCTTTGATGGCTCTGGAGCGAATGGGAAGAGGGAAGACGTGCGCTCGAGGATGTTTGGGGCTCACCGGCGCCGTCACCACTCCATGCACTGAGACATGTTCATACTGAGGACCCTTCTACGCTGGCCAAGCTTGCCGCTTTCTCGTTCCAACTCCCCACTAGTTCCGTCTAGCACCTGTTTATACCCTCGCCGGCTGGCCGTCGCCCCAGGCTGCTACTCTCTCACGACCTGTTTAAAACGTTTACGTCTGCCATATCGATGTTTTGCACAGGGTGCACGTCAGGGTGTATCGTTCACAATCTTTTGTTAGACAGCGCTAGGCGTTGTATTCTCTGCTCGTTTGCTGTAGAGCTGCGCGATGCTCGTATGTTATAAAGCGCACATGTTGTTATTTTCTCTCGGGCACGGCTCTGCTACATCCGCGCTGCCGTGCCACGTAAGTACCAATTCCGACAATAGCATCCGGACTCGGAGGTATGTGGGTCACCTCATCGGCGTTTGTCTGGCTATGTCGCTTACATTTAGACACTCAAATCCGTCATATCATGTTCGTTATACTCACAGTCCGCCCATCAATATTGCGCTTTCGTGTTCTTACGGCATTGCACAAAGCAAGTCTCATCCCGGACATGACGTACGCATCGCGGCCCCGGAGCGGATGAGGCAATTCAGCCGGCAACGCGCTGTCCTCGGACTCTGCGGATTACTTATCAGCGCTAGCTTCTTATGAGAGTGCTTTACTTATGGCTCGGATGACGGTCCCCTCCTTCCTCCTGACCAGACGAGCACTCCATTGCTTCTACAGACTTCGGCCTCCGCTCTCTCTAGCTGTCCATCGGGACTCTACCAGGACGCCGCTACCAAGTTGTTCGCGCACGATGACTACTGCTCCAGGACAGCCGCGGAAAGATTCGCACGGAAATAGCGGGGTCGCGCGCACTCGCACAGGAGACATCGTGGTGGAGAAACGGAAGGAGGCAAAGTGGACGGACGCGCCCCCCGCCCATCACGCCAACAGGAGCGCGACATACTTCCGGAACCCTTGGCCATCGTTCAGGTACGTCCTCGACTTCGTACATGTACTGACAGGGCGTTCGGAGATTAACCGCGCGTAGGTTCTTGCCGCCGTCACGCTGGCTCAAGGTCAGTGTGCAAGTGCGTCCCGTGCGCAGTTCTATTCATGAGATGTCTTGTAGGCCTTCTTGGCAGCACCTTGGACCGTGCCCAAAATACCCCCCGACCTCTCCGCACAAATTCCGTCTCAGGTACCGGATTGGGGCGCTGGCAGCGCACCTGACAGCGTCAAAGCAACGTGGCTGGGGTACGCATCGTTGTGCCCTCGCTGCCATTCATCGTGCTGATACTGGTGTTACGCGCAGCCATGCATGCTTCTTGGTCGAACTGCCGACTCCAGAGGGTGCTGTGAGAGGCCCGAGAATATTGTTCGACCCTGTACTGTCCCACCGCTGTTCGCCGTTTACATGGGCGGGTCCAGAGAGGTTGCTTCGTGAGTATAGCATCGCTGTGGCTGTGGCAGTAAGGAGCGAGACCGACGAACGTAAACCTAGCGACACCTTGCTTGGCTGAGGATTTGCCAGAGGTTGATGCAGTCGTGATCTCGGTGCGTCACTTCCCTGTCAGACAGAGATGCTGATCGCCTACTGACGTCCTCCCTACTGAACAGCACAACCACTATGATCAGTGAGTCACCATCCCACAACCCTGCGGTGCGTACTGACCGTAAAGCAGCATGGACGCAGCCACGCTCAAGACGGCCTGGGCGCGGTCCCAGCCGCACTTCTTCGCGCCGCTCGGGAACATGCCGCACTTCGCCGCCTTAGGCATACTCCCCTCGCACGTCCACCTCCTCGACTGGTGGGAAGAGGCCGCTGTCTCTGTCACCTTCCCTACAAATCCCTCCTCCCTACCTCCTCAACAGCGGGAGAAGAGCGCGGGGGTGCACGCGTCCTTCGTCCTCACCTGCACGCCCGCCCAACACACCGCGGGCCGGACCGCGTTCGACCGCTGGCACACACTCTGGGCGTCCTGGGCCGTCTCCGAGGATCCCCTTACTCCTCTCGAAGGGCGGGAGCCGAAACAGGTGTACTTCGCGGGTGACACGGGCTACCGCACGGTCCTCGTCGGGGAAGACGAAGGGGAGGTACCGCGCTGCCCTGCGTTCAAAGAGATCGGCGAGAAGTTTGGGGGGTTCGACCTGGCGCTGTTGCCGATCGGGGCGTATGCGCCCCGGGATATGTGGAGTGGCCTGCACGCGAGCCCCGGGGACGCGGTGCTGATGTTCAAGGACGTGAGGGCGAGGAGGGGAGTGGGAATGCATTGGGGGTGCGTCCTCAATTTGTTTGAGGTCTGATTGTTGGAGTGTGGGGGGTCAACTGATGTGGGATGGCGCAGGACATGGACTTTGACAAGTGAGCCGATCATGGAGCCTCCGGAGTTGTTGAAGGCGTCCGTTGCGGAAGCGGGATTGGCACCTAATGCGCTCACGGTGTGCGCGTTAGGGGAGACGACTGTCGTATAGGTATGTCCACGTCTCGGTCTCAAGGTCTGACAAATTACGTGCTGACGCTCCGTTCAGAATAACCCTTTAGTTTCCTACATTATAATACAGTATTCTTCCCGGGATGCGTCGCGTTCTTCGATGTGATAATGATGCTGGAAAGTGTTCCAGGGCATTAATTGGCTGTGCATAGTCGGTGGTATGACCTCTCCTGCTGTGATGTTCCGTTGGAGCTCAAGCCCTCTGGTCCCAAGCCTCAAGGCCGTATCGACACTGTAGAAGGTGGGCTTTCCCTCAGGTGTTGTCTGCTAACGGTTCATGACGACGTCGAATAAGGCGCTGGATGCTGCCAGGAATTCTTGAGAGGCCTCGATCTTTACTCACTTCCGCAAGCTCTGTGTTTTCCCGAGTTGGTACTCCATATCCTCAGAAGCCGCGGGGCTATCTTTTCCATCTCAATGTCGTTAGACGCACCTAGGCAAACGGTAGAACACCGGAGGTAGTCACGCACTACCCCGCGCTGCTTCACTTCTCCGATAACCTTTCAAATTGCTCACGAGGTACCACCAGGGAAGCGTTCCGCCATCCGGGCTATGGTTCCTGAACCCCGCGATTCCGATATTCAGCCGGGTGCTCGCTCCGAGGGAGCGCAACTTAATCCGAGCAAATTCCAGACCCTGTATATCACTGCAAGAGAAGTGGCTATCGACGCCACCCAAGGGCTCCGTAACCTGGACAAAGTTGTAGACTTAGGCTCCGGCTTCAGCGACGATGTTCTCAAAGATCGGGCTTGCAGCGTTGGCGTCGGTCGTGTTTGTGCGCTGCGTGGCGGCTCAGCAGCCGGTCTGGGCCCAGTGTAAGCCATTTCTCTCGAAGATGGTACGACGTGTGTCCAAGGCTCACCTGCTATTGTAGGCGGCGGAATTGGCTGGAGCGGGGCAACGACTTGTGTCTCGGGGTATGCACATTCTTTCAGGCAGACATAAGCAATGGCTTCAGCTTTGCTCACGCTGCACCCTGTGGACAGTTCTGTCTGCACGGAGCTGAATGACTGTGAGTGGTGGCACAATGTATGTCGGATTGACAGACTCAGAGCGGTCTCATGCGCAGACTACAGTCAATGCATACCTGGTTCTGCATCTAGCGCCCCCGCCCCGACGAGCACGTCCTCGACCTTGACCGCACCTACGAGCGTGCCGAGCGGCGTCGGCAAGGCGAACTTCTGGTTCAGCTTGTGAGCATTCGCATTCCCGCAGTCTTGTAGCAATGTCATTGAACATGCTCAAACAAAGCGGAGACTCTTACACTCAAACCGGGTTCACGACCACGGGAGCCATTCCCGCACCAGGAAATCCGCTCGGCAATCCGCCTTACCCGGGCTACACAGCTGTCGGGGGCACGAACTGGATCGACGTAGACACGACGGTGTACAACAAGTCACTCGTGCTCACTTACAACTACGCGTACGGGGGCGCGACGATCAACGCGTCGCTCGTTACGCCGTACGAGCCGACAGTGCTGTCGCTGATCGACCAGGTGAATGAGTTCATGGGCCAGGTGGCGAATAAGCCTGCAAGCGCACCATGGACGAGCGAGAACGCGCTGTTCTCGGTGTGGATTGGGATAAACGATATTGGGAACAGCTATTACGAGTCTGGGGACCGAGACGCGTGAGTTGGCCGAGGCAGCTGCACGGATTACAAAGGCAAGAGAGGTTGATTACTTCGCTGGGCAGGTTCTCCGACACGCTGTTAGATTCGTACTTCGGCCAGGTCCAGGAACTCGTAGGTGTTCTTCGACTGTCGCCTTGATTGCATTGACCAATGACTGATACGACGTCCTTCTTGCAGTAGTACGCACATACCTCGCTTGGGTCCTTTTTCGTGGACTAATGTGCTTCTCGCAGCAACGTCGGCGCGAGGAACTTCCTCTTCATCAACGTTCCGCCTATCGACCGGTCCCCACTGGTCAGTAGAGCTCCAATCGAAGTCAAGCTGGCGTTCAAATGCTCACCGTCCTTCGCAAACCGTGTAGATGCTTGCCCAAAGCGCTGACGCACAGGCCCTAGAAAAGACCGTCATTGCTGGTTTCAACTCGAAGCTCGCCGCTAGGGCGCAATCGTTCGCTGCTGCGAACTCGGGCGTATGTATCCTGAGCCATGCATTCCCGAGAAATATTTGCTGAGGCTCCCTTGCAGGTTACAACATGGCTCTGGGACTCCAACACCGCGTTCACCACTGTTCTTGACAACCCGACCGCATACGGATTCGACGACGCCGTATCGTATGGAGGCACCAACGACTTCTGGGGCAACAATTACCACTCATCGAGTATGTCATAAATACCAACCTTCACACCGGCGTGTCATTTGACCATTTCTCGTCGTGCTGTCTAGGTGCTGCCCAGACACTTTGGGGACAAGGTGTCGCTGCCGTGCTGAATGATACCGTCTGGTGAGAGGGATGTGAAGATTCTGAGTAGGATGAGAGATGGTTTGCGAACCTGTTTCTGAAGTTGGTGACAGTGTCTTCAGTTACTCGGCTCCACGAAATCGTACTTGTAAATCGCTTGCACCGTTATCTCCTGTTCGATGAATAGTACCTATTCATAGCGAGCCTTATACGATACGGGGGCTGCTACTGCAGTGCAAGAGCTCTGATACAAAAATTCGAAACCTCAAAGACTGAGAATCAAGCTTTGGGGGCACTGGTAGTACTGTAGTTGAAATATGTCGCAGATCATGGAGTTTCGACAAGTCCATAAGAGGCAATACAGACGCCAAAAAATGTCGCAGGAAGTATGCAAAAGCGCCTGCACAACTCACTTCTCCCGGTCACCTCCTCCGTCCAAAAGATGCTCCAGGCTGCATTCAGATTACCGGTGGCACGCAGCTTTGCCAGCCAGTCTGTGCGCACGTTGGCGTCGAAGAGTACGCCCAAGAACGTCAACAGGCCACTGCCAACGAAACCCGCTCCGCCGCCGCCTCCCCCGTCAGGAGCGAAACTCACGAACCAAGCGGACGCCCCGAAACCCATCCCTAGTTCCTCTGTTGTCCCTAGTCTTGACTTTGACCCAGAGGGCCCTGAATCGGGAGATGCCAACCGCGAGCGTACGGGTGCCAAGTCGTCCAAGGACTCGCTGTCGAGTATCGAGCGGAGACGACAGTTCATGGGCCGCGTCTCGCTTGCGATGCTGTTAGCCGGTGCTGGTGCAGTGACATGGATTGCCGGGAGGCCATGGGAGGAGGATGAGTTGAAGGCGAAGAAGCTGGTGCGTCCCGAACCCTCCTAAAGCGTATGACGCATACTAATGCTCCACGTCCGACTATAGTCACCGGAGGAGGCGGCCAAATCCACACGATGGGAGCGCACGAAAGCACGGTTCACTGGCATCTTTGACGTGCGTCGAGGTTGATTTCTCCTGCTCTTGCTACAGTCGGGTTTGTGCTTTCGAGACTCGATCCCGTGAGAGCTCTAGCATTTAACCGTGATCAACATGGGGTCTGACCCAGCTGGGCACATGTCCCCACTGGTGGTCGTAACTACTATTGACGTTGCTTTACTACAGACCTTCACGGAGCCATTGTGGCCGGAGCTGCTCCCTCCACCCCTGCAGGGCGAGATGTACAGACCATACACTCTGCTAGTTTCGGTAGACGACCTGCTCGTCACTTCGACATGGGATGTGCGTACTCCCTCGACGGAATGCTCATGTGAAACTGAAGCGCATTCTCTCAGCGTCAACACGGGTGGAGGACAGCAAAGCGTCCTGGAGTCGACTATTTCCTTGCGTACATGTCCCAGTTCTACGAGATCGTGGTGTTCACGACTCAGTACCATTACGTGCGTTGCGTCTTGCTATGTACTGTGCGTGTACCTCCTCAACCGTTGATTGTGTTCGCAGACTGCCATGCCGATCCTCGACAAGCTGGACCCCTACCAGTTCTACATTATCCACCGCCTATTCCGCGACGCGTGTCGGTCAGAGAACGGTCAGCCAGTGAAAGATTTGTCGTACCTCAATCGCGATCTGTCGAAGGTCATCCTGCTCGACACCCATCCAGAGCACGTGAAGCCCAACCCCGAAAACGCCATCATCTTACCGAAATGGACGGGCGACGCGAAGGATCGCGGGCTGGTTGCCATGATTCCCTTCCTCGAGTGTACGTTCGCGCCATCACCTTCTACCCGAGTCTTAGCCGCTGCGACTCGGTCTGCTTACGCTTCTGCGCCATGATAGCTATCGCTATCTTCAGAACGCCTGACGTGCGACCGGTCCTCAAGGCGTACGAGGGGAAGAACATCCCGATCGAGTACGCGAAAAAGGAGGCGGAGATGAAGCGCAAGCATCTGGAGGAGTACGAGCACAGCCGGAAGGGCCTGTCGCGCGGCGGCTTCACGTTCGGTGCGCTGTTCGGCGGATCTGAGCAGGTATGTCTCAATCACGTCTACAGTCCGTGAGCGCGTTTCGCATTGGCTCTAACGCGTCTCTCTCTCCTAGCCGTCGGCCGCGTCCCATGCTCCCTTGACGTACCTAGAACAGAAGCGTCTGGAAGCGCAGCGACGGTACCTCGAGGAGCAAGAGTACCTGAAGCAGAACAAGGAAACTCTGGACAAGATGATCAAAGAGCAGGAGGAGGCGCTGCAGCGGGAAATGCCTAGCACGTTCTGGGGCGCTACGCAGGCAATCCTGTCGGGCGGCCCTCCCCCTGCTCCCCCTCCCGGCCAGCAGCAGCAGCAACCTGCGCAGTTATCAGTGGAGGCGAAGTAGACGGATCATCCATCACAGCGCGAGTTGTGCTGTTGCCCTTGTATACTCGCTGCCCCATGTTACCCTACATCCATCACACCGCTCTGCCCCTATCGACCTACGGTAATACATCTAATCTCTAGACCGAGAATTCGCGTCGACACACGGGGCTTGTTGTTCCTAAGACCACAGTACCCCCTCCAGATGTCTGCTGTGTTATGAGATGCCGGCGGCGATGTTGCTTCATGCGTCGGTCTCAACAAGCGTGCAGATATCAGTCGATATAATGATCAATGCCGAGACGACGCACCTGCGACGACTCAATAATCATAATGGCATGGACAATGGCGGCAGGAGTAACACCTGCATGGGCAGCCCATGACTTAATCAAGGAATAGGATGGGTCCGGGTGGGAGGCCAGCCAGCCCCTGACATCCTCTGCAAGTGAAGAGGTGTCTTTAATGAGGAGGATAAGACATGAAGTAAGGTGACCCGGCCGCTACCAAATTACGAGATAGACTAGACGTACCAACCAACGTGTGCTTCAGCCTGGCGTCCTTCCGCGAAGGCGCATGCTCCTTGCCGGAGCACCAAGTCAAGTGCCGCTTCTTGTCGTACCAGCCCACATGTGGAATGGATTCCCGGATCTGATCCAACACCCTCATTTTGTCGTCGAAAGACGGGGCACGTTTATTGACATCGTAGAGAGCTGCAGCATTGGGGTTCGATCGGAGAGCGTCAGCGAACGCGCGTTACGGAGGCAGTGCATTGCACTACGGAGACCGCCTCAAATGGAAGTACCGTTTCGAAGTTGTTTTGCTTTGCCTGGCAAAACATGTCTACGGGGCATGTTGGATGTGGAAAATTATTGGGAGTGTAGAGATGGCACAGCAGGGGATGGGGATTTTTGAGAGCAGAAACAGCAGACTCTGGATCGTTTTATGCAAGGGGCTTAGCGCTCCCAGTGCATGACTCCAGGGCAAAATGTGGCAATTTCCTGCACAACCAGATTATCGAAGGATCATTCCGTGACATTTGATGTGCTTGAAGCGAAAAGAACACCAAGTATACAGCATAAATCTGATCAAATCCTGATTTTGACAGAAATAAGGCTGCCTAAATGCAGAAGCTGTGGGAAAATACCCTGTCACAGAAGCCGCAGAAGAGCAACAGCCCTTGCTTGCCTTTTTTCCTAGGTCCAGAAATTTAAGTAATGTACTAGTACATTCCATAGAACATGCCTTGGAAAGAAGGGTAGTGCTGCGGGCATGCTGCAGGCTCTTTTGTACCCCATTTTGGTGCTCATAAAGTACCAGGTCCACTGGGAGCTAATCTCCAACTCCTTTGTTCGCTCCCCCTGTTAAGGTTTTGTCTGGTTCTCTGGAGAGGAGCACCAGATGAAACCCTGAAAGGCTGCCAGACAGGGATTATAGAGATGTTAGCACTCCCATCATGAGTGGACCAGCTATGGCATGCATGTGCGGGTTCAAACCCCCAACACCGCACTGGCCCCATTCTCCCCTGCTTAGCCATCTGGTGCTGCCGAGCAACAGACTTCCTCTCGGAGATCTGCAGGTAATGGAAGACACGAACACTCAGCCTCGGAATTTGCCTACCTAGTACCCTGAACTAAATTCGGGCCGTGCCGTCGGGAGATGAGGACGCGCGGAGCGCTCCTCAATCGCTCACGGATGAGGAATCCACGGAGAGATTACGGCATTCGGTGATGGATCTGAGCCAGCGTTTCGGAAACCGGTTTGCAGCGGCGGATCCGCGACTCGGGCAGAGTACGACGGGATACTCGGAGCCTCCCTCCATCCCACAACTCGGCTTTCGGCTTGTTGCAGACGGTACTACAAGTCCCGGTGACATTCCGCCGAGAACAAAGCGACTCAGCGTCGCGTGAGGCTATGCCGTCCCACCCCGTTCGTAATAGTCTCGGTAAGGACCTTTGTGTCGGCATCATTCGCTGGCAATGTACGGTGAGTGAAGAACAAAGTGCCAAGGACTAATGAAAGATATCGCCCACGTCATGCAATCCAGCGTTATCCGTTTATAGCCCTCCGCGAGAATCCACGCAGCGCGCAGGTTGTACCCGGGACGGAACGGTCGAACAGCTACAGCGTAGCTGGATGGCGGTAAAGGCCTCAGTGGATGCCCGCTTCCATCTCCAGGGCTCTGATATCCAACCCCGGCTCCGGCTCAGCTGGAGGCACAGGACGACGAGTCAATAGGCAGGCAAACACAATGATTGAAGACATTCGAGATGAGTACAAGAGATTATCACGCCAGTCAGGTGGCGGAGCAGGTGGGACAGGTTGTTGAGAACCAGGTCCGGCTTCTAAGTATAGACACTGTAGGCTACGCGAACCCTACGACCACGCCACGCCGCGCGCGCTTCACCAGATGCGAGTCTCCAAGAGAAGATCCGAGCTGCCCTCCAGGCCGATGCACGCCTTGAGGAACGTCTCGAGCGCGTTGCGCTGGCGGTTGAGCGAGTTCACGACGTCCGTGCCGGGCTTCACCAGCGGCGCCTTCAGCATGTACGACAGGAGAGAGAGGATCGGGTACAACGGCTTGAAGTCCTTGCCCGCGCTCGCGTCGCGGTACTTGACGCGCGTGAGCAGCTCCGTGAGAATCGTGAGGTCGAGGATGAGAGGCGTCGCCAACAGCGAGTCCTCACACTCGTTGAAGATGTTGATCGTCGACCGCCCTCCGCAGAAGATCTCCGAGTAGTACTCGTCGATCGCCCGCTTCGAGTCGCCCACCGCTGGCACGTACTTGATGACCACGATGTGGTCTGGGTGCTCGCCCTTTGCCTCCTTAGAGCCCGCGGGCGCCCCTACCGCGGAGGGCTTGAACAGGAGGGCGTTCGCGCTGACCATATCGTCGACGACGGAGGACTTGGAGATCTCCTTGGACTTGAATTGCGGCTCCGCGGAGAGGTTGTGGCCGTCGTTGTTCCCGAGGTGGTTGTACGACGCGATCGAGAGCGGCTTAATGCCCGCGTTGACCAGGAACTCGGCGAAGACGGACTTGAGCTTCGTCTGGCCCGACTTGAGGTCGTCGCCGCCGATGAAGGACTGGAGACGCTCCGCGAGCTCGATCACACCAGGGACGAAGGTGTTCTGCGGCGCGCCGTTGACGAAAGGCTCGCCCTCGAGGATCGCCGCGACCGCGAAGAGGGTCGAGGGGGACACCTCCGAATGCGAAGCCTTGATCGCGTTCAGCAAGTTGTCCGCGGTGTCATTCACACCAGGGATGATGTCGCTGTAGCGCTCCGTGTTGGCCGTCCAGAACACGACGACGCGGTCTAGGCCGTGCGTCTCCTTGAACTTCCGGATGTCCGCGCGGAGGTGCTCGAGGTGCGCCTGCTTGTCGGTGCCGGGCACGACGTTGTCCGCACGCGCTTCCTGGTTCGCGGCGATGAAGTCGGGGTAGTAGATGGACGGGAGAGGGGAGCCTAGCGCGGCCATGTGCGGCATCACCTGGCGTTGGAGGTCCCAGTCGAGGACCTGCGCGCGCTTCATGGCCTCGTCCAAGCGTGCGCCCGAGATGTCCCATCCGCCCAGGACGAGGTCGTTGGGGTGCACCATGGGCAGGACGTCGGAGATTGGAACGTAGACATCCTTGCCGGTGGAAGGGTCGGCGCCGAGGCGGACGGTGGACGCGCGGAGGAGGGAACCGATGTAGTTCGGCTGCTGGACGCCGGACTTGGTGCGCCAGACGATATTGTGACGGTTGGCGAGGATCGTCGCGGACAACGTCGAGCCGTTGTTACCGCCCCAGCCGACCATCATGAGACTGGAAACATGAATGGAGATCCCGTCAGTAAATTGGACATTTACAAGGCCACGAGTGTATGACAGGGGGAGCACGGGACGAAACGAACGAACGAGTACTCACCCAGTCTTAGCGACCTTTCTGGCCGTCTGGAATTCGTATGGCTTGGCGGTGGGGGTGACGATGTACTGGCCTTCGACGATGGTGACATCGGCGCCGCGGTTGGTGAATTTGGAGATGATGTGGTCGTTCGTATACGAGGTGTGCTCGGACTGGACGACGATGGGGCTCGCCCGACGAACGGCGGTGGGGTGGACAGGGAGAACGGACTCCAACTGGGACTCAGGAGTGTTCGCGCCTGAAGACATGTTTGCAAAGTAGAGAGTACGATTGTCCGGGGACGATGGGATTTAGTGGTGATTTAGATTGTCGCCGCAGGTGTGCTTGCAACCTCTGTGGCGATTGTGAGGGCTCCCTAGCTGATTAGAGAACATGCACCGATGGGGGAAAGATACTGGTGAGATGGGGTGGACGAGGGTTCCAGAGACCGTCGGAGGGCTCTTATATGGGGGCGGAGGTCGCAACGTGGGCGAAGGCAAGCTGGAAAGATTTGCCGGCATCAATCCCGGTGCGACCTCCATTTCTGATGTTCCTCGACTTGTACCCCCAAACAGCCAGGCCTTTCTCCACGTAGACTCCTTTACCTTCAGCAATCTAGAATTCCTCATTAATGTACCGTGTATGCTAGGCCAACGGTGTGCTCCACGCTATAATGTTTCTCGTACCGTACACAGATCTGTACGCTCGTGTCAAAGTCAATCACCGCTAATCGGCATCGATGGATAACTCCGGGACGTTGTTCAACGTGATAACGCCTCCAGATTATCGACATGTCGCATCGTTCGATGTCGGGCTTGGATTTTCTGTTGAAGACGCGGACTAAGACAGAATGAGCGGTGGCCGACGTCGGCATGTTGGCTTCTGCGCCGTATCCCGCGTCGTAGCACGGCACGCGCAAAGCATGCGTAACAATTGGGGTGAGTAAAGTAGCCGCGCCCTCCGGAAGTTTTGAGGTCGCCAGACAGTACTTGCAGGGACAGCTACAGACCGCGTCAACAGAATGCTTCGACACGCCCTTCTGAGCATGAAGTCAAATTTTAGGGTGACTTCGTGTACAATGCGAGGTCTTCCCTTATTATTCGAGCGACAGCTTAGCCATACGCGCGCGAAATACCGCGCCACATCATCTAGGAACTTCGTATGCTTGAAGTAGCGGAGATCTGTCGTCCAACATGTCATTGAACTCGGATCATGTCCAAGTACCTTCGGCGTTTCACTGCAAGGCTGGGGCGAACACAATCCGCGGCACGATACAGTACGTGTACGTCGCACACGAGGCACTCGCAGGCAACTCTCCCTTAGCGTTCGAAGCTAGAACCAGGCACCTAACTGTGGCATCATAAACGTGTCGGAGTCGCTCTTCCACAAACCACGTAAAACGAAGCCTGATGAAGCTCACGAAGTATAGCAGGCTTATCCTTGGGACACCCTGATGCGGCCGCAAGGAGATCCGTGAGAGCCTGGAAGGAAAGCCCGCAGCACATGCCTATCCTCGGCATGGACGGGTAGTTCATCTCGTGCTCGGGAAATAAAAACCCAGTCTGTCGGGGGCGACCTTGACGCATGTTGAGAAATGAGGGTGTGAGGCTGATTGCTGCTTGCTGAAATCCGGGGCACTGATAAGAGGGTGGAGAAGTGATCCGTCACCAGACGCAGACGTCACTCAACATTCGAAGAACAGAAGGCCAAGATGCATGGGAACTAGAAGGACAAGCGTATAGAGTAACACACGTATCAAACTGTCTGGTCCGATGAGCACGAAATATGAGCTGAGACAGAGCAGAGCAGAGAATTATGAGAGCCACAGGGAGTCTACTACGCCTACGTGCCCTCTCCGGATATCGTACGTTGGCCAATGCAGGGATGAGGGAAACGAGCGGAAGGGAGGAGTTCAGTTGTACACGAGAGACCGTGCGGAGCAGACTGACTCAGGCGGAGTGCGAGTGGAACAAAAATACGAGCATGGGACGGGAGGAAAAATGCAGATGGTGAGAGCACTGCGTTAGGGGATGTCGAAAGAGAGTGAGGCGGGGCTGCCGAGGTTTATGCTCAGGACGGGTGGCTCTGTAGGCAGCTTGGGTGGAAGCAGGTCGGCTTTGCTGAAGAGCTGTTCGTCCTCTTCATCCTCCTCGGGGATGGGTTCTTCGTACTCGATATCTTCTTGATCGTCCAGATCTCCTTCGTTTTCACGTTCCGCATCACTGTCAAAGATGCTGTGGTACTATTTGCGCAAAGGCATTGTCAGAGCGTTTCATGTGCCCGAGAAGGACGGGGATGTGACACGTACGTGAGAAATGAGTATCTTTGTTACACGATGGCAAGCAGCCATGTTGCTGAAGAAGTTCCCGACATCGTTGTTGGTGGAGCGAAGCAGATTCGGAGCGAATACCGTGGAAAGAGACTCAGCGGTCATCTGATTGCTATCCTCATAGTCGGTCACCCTCGAATAGATCCGTCAGCTCACGTTCCTTGGCTAAGCCATCGTACTTAGAGACGCACTTCTCCAGATGTTCGACAATACGCTTCAGAAGATCGAAGTTCGCGGCAGGTAACTTCCGAACAACGTCCCGCACGTTAGACACCTTCGTGTCCAAGTCCACATCTTCGCGTCCTGAGAAGAGGTGGTGCGTTAGCATGTCACTGGCAAACACTGAATCATTACGCTATCACGCACCCGAGGCGCCCAAGATCTGACCGTAGAGCTCCGAAGGGAACAATCCGCCTGGTAAAACTCGGAACCAAGACTTGATCAAATCGCAGACAGCATGAATATCAGTGATCTCAGATATTGGCCATTCTCCTACCCGATCACCGCGTTAGAACGCCGTACTGACAGCACTGCGGTAGCAAAGCCCACCTCGGTTGAGCGCGTCCCTCAGCGAGTTGACCTCAGAGTGAGCTCCAGCGATACGATCTGGCGGCTCATGCGTAAGACGAAGGATGAACGCACGACTAGGACAAGGTACGTACAAATGCCGACTTCCGTCAGGCCACGGGTTTCGACCTCATCGATCAGCCGATCGAGGACCGAAGGTATAACACCAGGCTGGACTTCTCCATTCACAGCTTCTCGTTGGAGCAAGAAATCGAGCTCGACACCAAAGACTGTCAACGACATCATCGTGTCAATGTAGCTCGCCATGATGAAGGAAGAAGTAGAGTATAATTTTTCGCTTACCCGCTATAGGGTCGCGTGTCGCCGCGGTCGGCTTCGCTAAGTGGTCGTCTGTCATCTGAAGCTTGACGTTTTGTCCGAGGTACGTTAACCTGCGCTTTGCCGTCGACTTCGACACGCGCTCAATTGTGTCAATCCACTTCTTCATATCCTGCTTGCTAGCCGCTTGCAGGAGATAGTGCCCGCCGTCCTCTGCGTCAAGCTGGAAGACGAACGAGCGCTCGTTGTTGACGAAGTGCGCGACGTGCGCGTTTACCACGCTAACTACTTGCGACGGTTTGCTCGATGGGAGGAAGTCGAGCTCCGCCGGGGTCCGTTTCGAGGGGCTGACGGACATGGTGTCGGAGGTGAACGCGCTTGAGATTGGGCGCATCAGCTGGAAGAATGCTGAAGACATGCTCTTCTTGTTCCGGTGTTGCTTCGACATGACCGGATTCTGGCGCCGCTGGTTCATAGCCCTGTTCAGTTGCTCCTCGCGCCTGTCATGCCGTTGCTGCTCTTGTCGTTTCTCCTTGCTGAGACGATCCCGCCATAGTCGGTCGCGTCGGTTCTTCTCCTGCTGCTGGGCGACAAGCTGCTGGAAGGGTCGTTGGCCACGCTTGCCCGAGGAGGCACTCGCTTGCATAGCCTCGCGGTAGGCATCTTCGCGGATTGCTCTGAGATCGAAGTGCACCAAGCTGAGCTCTCTTTCTATGTTGTTGAGCCGCTCGAACTCGCGACGATCTGCCTCCCGACGTCGCTGCTTCCGAGTAGAAGCAGCGCCAGAAGCATTTGCCAACAGCGTTTGTAGTGACCTGCAGCGAAGGTGTCAGACTAGGCATCACCGGTGAGTAAATTGCACCGTATACCCACCGTCGCTTCTCGAAGTTGACAAGGACAACTTTTTCGGCAGAAGGAGGCTCAAGCACATCCGGTAAGCTAATGATCTCGAGAATCTTCTCCATGAGCCAGCCAATGTCTACAGTCAGTGTCCCTCTCGACAATGACTTGACCACAGGTCGAGCAAGGTAGGCAGCAAGTGTATCACAGCCCGTGCCTCGAGTGACAGCGACTCCAAGCCAAGCGCGCTGGTACGTCCGGCTTTCCACGCTGAGCACGGCAGATGTAATGATCGCCTCAACAAAAGAACGGATGCACGGGCGCTCGGAGAGAGGTACATCCGTAATCTCGCTGTCAAAATTCCTGAGACGTGCGACTTCGATAGCCCTGAGCATAAGCTCCATTCTTTGCTGCCGTGTACGAATGCCAAGCCCCAGGTCGACGAGCTTCGAGATCAGCCATTTCCGGAGGATACCGAAGGCGCGAATACAACTGCGGACGGCTGGCGGTAGGAGGCGGTACAGGTTGTCTTGCGTCAGCTCTGAGATAAGCGGCGACGGCTCCACTTCGAGCACGTAAGAGTTCATAGACTGAATCTCTACCTCGTCGGCGATTGAGCTGGGGTCACGGTTAAGGAACCAGCCAGTCCGGTCTGCTGACTGCATCTCAAACAGGTCCGCGGTAATGAAGAGGTCCTAGTGATGAGCTCCATCAGATGGCGATGAAACTTGTATGGCCCTCAGGTTACTCACCTCCTGCGTCACATTGCGGAATGTTGCGGAAGCCATGGCGTTCAGATTGTTGACGAGTTCCTCAGCATCCAGCTGATCAATATCTGGCAGCTCCGAGCTGTAGCTCTGCGCAGCGACTCCATCGTTAGGTTGATCTGGCGCAGCTGATGCTCGAGGGGTAGGTCGCAGTGTCTGGGAGCGGAAGGACACGAGGAGGGCCGTTCGTGACGTTTCGAGCGCCCTGAGGGCTTGACATGCAGCCTCCGACTGCGATGCCGACTCCGACAACTTCTGCTCCGCCGGCTGAGTAAGGAATGATAGCAACGCTTCATAAAGGGCTCCGTCATCAAGAGCGTCCTGCGCGCCCCCACCTTGTGTGATCCACTCGCTCAGGGTATCCAGGACTTCCAACCGGAGGCGGACGACGTGAGGACTCTCATCCAGTGTCAGGGCACGCCCTGCTTGCTGAACGCCGACATACCGTTTCCGGAGGAGCTGTCAACGCAGCAGACGGTGTAAGTACGTATTTATGTTGTTAAACTTTGGCTCACCTCAAACAGGACTTGTGGCGTCACGAAGCTGCGGAATACACTCCACCATACTTGGGAGAAGTCGTCGATATCAACTCTCACTTCCCTCGTCTTCTTGTCCGTCAGTGGCATTTCTCCGTTGTCGTCAGCCACCGAGACCGACACGCCCTGCAGTCCATGCACAAGGATATCGACGAGGCGCTCAAGGGTGCCTGCCTGCACGACGACGCGCAGGGGTCTGTCCGACGTAGTCTCCGAGGCGACAAAACTAGTCCTTTGCGATATCGAGGGTAGTGAGTTTCGGCGTGTCAAACTGGACTTCCGCTCTGCCGTCCCATGACCGTGCGACGAGCTAGGAGTTACGCGAATAGAAGGGTTTCGGCTGAACATCTTCTCGACCACTGGGGACTCTGCAGCGGAGCGACTCGGCGGTCGTGAAGGAGTACGAGATGCCGGCCGGGAGCTGGTAGCACGATCGCCTCCAGATTGGACGAGAAGGAGCAGCTCACCGTTGTACAACGGGATAGTCGTGCCACCCAGATCGAGTCCATTCGCAAGCTTCGATCCAACCCTGCGGAGCGTTCGATCCCCATCGGGCTGAAGACGAAGCTGACGGATGTCCTGTGCGCTGATTGATGCATTGATAGAGGTATTACTCTCGAGCCTACCACGGACGATCTGGGAGCGGTCGACGAAGCAAATCGTCGGAAGCGGCTCAGGGAAGAGTAGTGCCGCAAGCGGATGTGCAGAGGGCTGCTGGGAGATCCGGGACCAGAAATAGGGTTCGTAGAGACCTCTCCTGCGCGGCTCCGCCGCATTCGATAGCGACATGAACTGCTCGACCCTATCCAAAGCGTGAGACTGGCATCCTACGAGTATACGAGTATAACAAATTGGGGTCTCACCTGAGGAATTTGGACGCTAGCCCTCGACTCTCTCCATCAGCGAGCAGCGTATTCCAGTGAGACACGAGCACGTCAACTGCAGGGGCTTCTGACACAGCTCCATCCCCACAGTGCTGCTTACACGACATCAGAGTAGTCCGCAGCTCATCGAACTTCTCCCGCACGCTACGCAGACAGCCAATAGCCCACTCTTCTCCTTCCCCGCATCGCGCCTTTTCCAACGCCTCGTGCATGTCGCGTTCGGCGTCGCCCGCCCACGGGTAGACGAGTGGCGCCGTGGGAGTGGGCTGGTCTCCGCGCACGACTATCTGAGCCCAGGATTGTACAACAGACAGAGCCTCGGGGTCTACTCGCTTCCAAACCTTGTCGAGGCGAGCTATCGGCCGAGAGCACAGCGCCGCCATGATAGCGCGCCAGGAGCACTCATCCCCAATCCGCCGAGCCACCTCGCCTATGCGGACCCATGCGGAGATGACCTCGGAGCGAGAGTGCGCGCGAGGAACAGAGGGATTTTGCCCCTCTGTGGAGGGCATGTGTGTGGTACCTGCAGGCTCGGGCACGAGTACTTGGATGAGTACTATCCTCGTCAACCAATGCGGCCTGTCGTTGTTTCCAAGGAATGGCGCAAGTGTATCCTGAGTAGACGACGCTTCCGCAGATCCGCGGGGATGCGCGGAGAGCACATAGTTGGCAGGGAAGTTTTCGGGGATATTCCGAAGCACGGGCCTCTGGTATGCGAAGAGCGAGCGTGCGACAAGAGCGGGATCGAGGCTAAGAAGCACATCGCGCGAGAGGCCTTCCTCTTCGAGGGCATTGCGCAGGGACTCCGGGGAAAGCGACGGAGGTGGGGGCGGGGCAGGTTGAAGGCTCGTTTCGCCAAGCGCTTCGATTATAGATTGCATCTTGCTGTCGCCCGGTCTCGGCGCGGACGTAGCTAGATTCGGCGAGGCATCCTCGGTGCCGACGCCAGATGGTAGTTGGGATGTCTTTGTCGACGACGACGATGACTGCTGTGAGATTACGGCGGCCGAGGCGCTGGGAGAGAAGCCCGGGATCGCGTCCTTGCACCACGAGTCCCACGCGTCTTGATTCGCAGGCGATCTGTGGTAGTCGAGATACCTCGAGGCAAGCCACCGCACCCTCTCGACCTCTTCTTGCCTCACGTCGTCTTCGGCACCATTGACAAGGTTCGAGCAGCACCGGCAGAACTCCGTCTCGAACGCACTCCGACCTACCAGCATCGGCAAGGAGAGCAGAACGGCGGACGCGAACTCGCGCCACTCCGGTTTGAATCTCGACGAGCCCGAACCCGAACTCGGCTCCTGGGCGTCAGTGCTCGATACAACAAACGTCGTCGCAAACACCGCTTCGTGCACGACGGCCTCCGTCGAGCCCCTCTGCACCTCCCCACCAACGATGGTGAGCGCCGGGTGCGTGCCGCGTCCCCAGTACGCGCGCCGCCTGCGCAGCTCCTCCCGCTCCTTGCCCTTCCCCCCACCGCCGCCGCCACGGCCGCCCATGTCGATCTCGGCATCATGGATGTCTACACTCAGCTCGGGATCCACGCTGGCCGCAGCTGCGTCCTCAAAATCGGCAACGAGCTCGGTGGGGAACAACTCGCGGATGCCCGCGGCGCGGTCGCTCGGCGGCTTGTAGAAGTGCAGCTTCGAGCCTTTGAGCACAAGCTTGAACGGCTTCCACCCCTTCGACAGCAGCACCTGCGAGCCCCCGGCCATGTACGCGTGGTGCGCGCGGCTGCTGAACATTGCGGGGGAAAAGTCCGTCATCCGGTTGATGAACCCAGACTGGTGCACCATCTGCGACGAGCGCTTGTTCCCGTCCTCCTCGGCCGGCTCGACGATCGTCGGTGGCGATAGCAGCGTGGGCGAGGATGGGCCTTGGCTGAGCTGTGAGCCGTCGTTGGAGATGCTGAGCGACCCAGGCGAGGTCTTCGGATTGCCGCCGAATCCGAACGGGAAGGGAGACCGTCCAGACGCCCCGCTGCCCGCAGAGCCCTTGTCGCGCTCCTGGTCGCTGCGCTCGGACGACGCGGACCCCTTGCGCTTCGGGCTGGGCGGCATCAGCCCAGACTTCTGTGCCGACAGCTTCGACGGCAGTCGTGGCGTAAACGAGTGCGACCGCGAGTGTACCTGTGATGTGCTCGAAGCGGACGAGGCAGGCGTGAGCGGTGGTGAGATAGGTGTCCCATGGCCAGAGGGCGGTAGCGGACCTAGCCGTGTGCTCTTCGGGGGCGACGTCGAGAGCTCGGCCGATATCACAGGAAACGGGTATGCCATTTTGAAAGACGAAGCGGACGGCGAAGGGAGCGACGGCGACGGCGCAGCGCTGCTGCTCACACTGTCGCTGCGGTATGTCTTGATCTTCTGGTGCAGGGTCGTGTCAATCGGAGTGAGAGTAGGGGTCGACCCGTCGGCGGACATCTTTCCGAGGTCGTCGGCCGACTTCGACCACGGTTTGCGCGATAAGTTACGCAAATCTCCAAGGCCGCCGCCGCCGCGTGGAGATATCGAGGGCTGGGTAGGAGAAGATGGTGTCCGATGCGCGTGCGGTCTCGAGTCGGGCGCTGCTGTCACTGTACGTGCCAATGACAAGTCGACCACAGACCTGGGCAAAGCAGTGTAAGTGTAAGCTACGACGATAAGACTCCATAATGAAAACGATCCAACGATGATGGTCTATCTAATTTCACGCTCAAAGGTATCTCAGACGCTGGGGGGACCGACAGCAGCTGCAAGTAGGACTTCTTACGCTCATGTGAAGCGCGAGGCAGCCAACAGACCGATTACCACCGAGCGTTCCCCAGTAGGCAGACGCTCTGTAGGTCGCAAGACCAGAGGTCGCGTATTGTGCACTGCGCCTTCATTGCACTGAACAAGAGCTCGGCGGGTAGCAGGACGCAGAGTCAACAACCTCGAATGAGTGCGTGAGATACGATAGATCCTTTCTCATGCAAAATATGTTGCAGGAACAGTGCAAGGAGATCGCAAAAGCTACTTCTCCCCACCGTATTGTGCGACGCGCTGATTGAACGTGGCGCGCTCAGACCACAGACGGTCTCCTAGGCATATTCCAACAATCGTAGTAACGTGCGCGTCCGCTGCTCTATGCAACCTAGTACGATTAGTACAGAGCATGAAGCACAGAAATGATTTCTTATGGAGGAAGCGAGGTAGGGGCCATGCAAGATATCGTACAACCCAGCAGGTGTCATATCAGTGCGAGGAGACCGCACGCGTCAGTTTTCCTGCCACGAACTAAGTAATGCGCTTTCATGAGATGCTGAACGTTGCGGTCTCCTAGCACTGCTGCAACAAGCTTACAGAACTTTGCTGCCGCCGCTCTAAGCTCGCACACTAGTACAGACAGGGAATGCAAGCAGCGGAAAGCAGAATGTCTGCATACATGATGTCTCCGCATGCCCGTCCGACTGCATACAAATGGGGGTTCTACCACCGGTGGCGAAATGAACACAAGCCAGGGGGGCGCGATGGTCCGTAACACGACATCCAGCACTGCACTTTGAACTGCGTCTTCAGATGAACCCAACAGATGCGTCAAACCGAGGACCAAGGGCAGCAAATAACTCGGAAACCGGTGAAGGGGAACGGCAAGAATGCAGCGTAGCAGGGGCGGGAGTACTCACCGACTAGTCTGATGCATGCCCAGCCCACCGCGGCTCGGCGGCAGCGCCAAGCTGTCCACAATTGGACGAGGGTCGGTCGGGTGCGAGATCTTGTGTTTGCGCGAGGAGCTCGTGCTCGAGCGCGGCTCACTTGAAACAGAACCGCGCCCACCAGACCCTGAGTTGGAGCGGTTAAACCATTTCGTGGGCTTCGTGAACAACTGGGTGAACCCGCTCGAGGGCGAGGCGGAGCGGGGTGTGCTCAGCAAGCTCGCGGGCGAAGATGGGGAGGGCGTAGTGGCTTCTGGGGGGCTCAGGGTATTCGATCCTTGCCGGCGAGGGGCCATAGAGACAAAGAATGGACGTGGCGGGGAGGGAATGGACACAGTAGCGCCACGAGAGGCTGAGCAGGAGGCGAGAGATGCAAGGAGTGAGAGAGCGTTAGGATCAGATGAGCCGTCGTTGTTTCGCGTTCGTCTCTTCGGGGTATCTATCTGTTGCGTCCACGCTCAGGTCAGTGACTTGTGGGACCAATGGAGGACGTACTGAGGAAGTGGATGAGAACGGGGAGGATCACCGAAAGGTCCGCCTGTGACTTGGTGCTACAAATGCCGTATGACCATATGTGGCGAGATTGACTGATTAAGTTCCACTGACTGCAGAGCTTCGGTGGCGAGATGGTATATGGGTTTAGTGGACAATATGTGTACAAGGAGGGAAGTTAGAAGATGTAAGTTCACGTCGGTGCCAAATGATGGACTGCGTAAACGTGAGAAAGCCCTTCCAAGTTCGTAAATGATCTGCGACCCGATCGAGCAGGAAATACTGTGACGCTCGTTCCCGAACTACATGCACTAGTGTACCATTCTAGCGACCAAGCTGATTGGCAAGCAGATCCAGCGTGCAGAATGTCTCCCATGTCGCCTAAGGCAGCGACCATCCTTCCTGGCTCTGGTCGCAACATATCCTCTCACTATTGCCAGTCCGGAACCAGCCATTGATTGTGTCCGATCCTCAGGCCTCAGGAAAGACGTATCTGTCTAACGTTCTGCTCGAGAACTGAGGTGCTTGCAAGTTCACACTAAGAGGAGACGTAGACGTCAAACGGGGTGTCTGTCGTACATTACACGAGAACCCTTGCTGCCGTTCTTCCCACAGAGGATCCTCGTTACGAAAACCGGTACCATGATTTTCGAGATTGCGGCGCCATATATGGCATCGTTGATGCATACTTGTGAATCGGCACTGGAACATAGTGTAGAGCCCTCCGGGCAGTCCTGGCCACGGTGGCCTTGGTTGCAGTTCGCTTGGGTGTCCTTCGAGACTGCTTCAATTGACAGTACAGACCTTGCGCGCATCGGGCGGGCTCGCGCCCGCCCTCAACGCGCCATGACTGCGTTTTCCTACATGCTATCATACTATTCTTCCTCGATGGGGTTTGTGGCGGGCTGCGGTCGGGCTCCTCCCTCCCTTCAGCCCGCTCCTTCCCAAGCTGAGGAGTGCCAGCGGTTCCCTGAGAATCACCTACTGCCCTTGTATAACTGAAACGCGAAACCACGCGAGCTGGTACCCCACACACGGACTGGTACATACTGCCTTACAGACCTGGTCACTCCCGGACGTGACCAGGAATATACTGAGATCGTAGCCGGCCAACCGAGTAACGTTAAGCTTTGTGGATTCCAATGTTACCCTTCCCTGTCCTTCAGTCTCTCTCATTTCAGAAGCCAATGAGCTACAACTTTGTCTGTCCATATGAAGTGGGTAGTGTTGTCCCATTCCTTCCTGATAGATTGTCGTAACGAGTCTAGTGGCGAAGAGAGGTTCGGTAGTAACATACGTAGTGAGATGTGTTCCAGTACTGCTCGATCGTGGTCCGTCGTGGCGTTGGTCATTTCTTATTCTTTCCGACGCCTTGCAAGCTATCAACAACCGACCTGACTGAGGTTCTGTAATATCCTGGCGTGGCCGACGTCGGGCCGGTGGGGGACGGGCGTCTGTTGATCGACGTTCTGGGCGGAGGTCCTCACCGAGAGGACCTTGTCCTCTCCCACATCCTACGCTCTTGTCCCCAAGCTTTGTCCGCCTTTTCATCTCCCCGTGGCGTGCACGAAGACTATCTTTAGCGTGCGCAGAATCTCAGGACGACTTGGCAAACACTGGAATGTCTGCGGTCCCTTCTTCGGAACCAGGCGATACCTCCCAGGACATGCAAGTGATATCCCTCGCGACCCTGCCATACGATCTGCTCCTGAACATCGCTAGACACCTAGAGCTGCTGGATATTTATGCTCTTCAGCTGGTGAGTCGCTGTTCCTCACCCATTCTGCCTACCACCTTGCGTACTCCAGTGTGCGCGGAGCCGCGCGGCTTCCTGAACCTCTTTCCCGCGGCGCGTTCGTCCATCCAGAGCCAGCTCTCCCCACGCGAGATTTGAAAGGTCAATATGGGGGTGATGGACGAGCTCGCGAATTAATTCGTGGCGGAGGGCAAGGGTTTGGATCACGGCGAGTTCTCACCAACCAACCCACATCAAGCCCGTTCACCTCGATCACCAACATGCCTTCCCCTGTTGCAACGAGGCTGCACCGGACGCTCGCCACGCGCGATGGGGGACGTCTGGTCTGCTCCTTCCGCATCTTCTCGTCTTACTTGTCAATCGTTCGTGGCGCTCGACCTGCTCCGAGCAGTCTGCTGCCATGCTCTAGAGACGGCAGGCTTGGATATAATCAATCGGAGAAAATTCGATGAAAATGGGAGGCAGAAGGCAATTGCCCACCGGTTTACAACGGCTTTTGTTCAGAAAAGCCATGATTTCACTAGTAGTTGACCTCCTCCCCTCTTCATCGACTATTATGTGGCCGAAACATCCCAATACCTGCCATGAGGGGCATGCTTTCATGCAGTCCGGCATGTTGACAGTTCCCGCAGTGGCTCGCATCCTGGAGATCTGGCCGAATGCGAGGGTGAACTGAAGGGAGTGTCCCTCGATACGCGAGTCGTTGCGGCGTAGGGTTCGCTCTATCAGTGCCCTCGTAGAGTCCTCAAGGACTTTGGGCATCTGTTAGAATGGTCTGTATGACATTCACGCGAAAGCAGAGCGTGAGACCTGTTCCCGATGAGAAAGCGGACGATGGTAACTGCGATTGGGGCGTACGCGAGTTTTCTGTGCCTCCCACGTCCTGAACGCAGTCAGAATGTGGGGGTGACTGTGGAGGCGCGTACGCTTCCCGTCTTCCTTGAACTGTCTGCGAGGTGTCGGGATGGACTGAGGGAGATTACCCTGTGTTTTCCCCTACCCGAGGGAATTGGCACGAAGTATGACACTTGTCGTGCCATCGTGAATCCTCGACGAGGGTCCACACCTAGTAGACTCGCCTGTATGATGTTTTTGCTTTAGATGCGAGCGGTCTCGGCGCAGTTGTAGCAGAGGAAGCCTCCTCTTTAGACGCGCGAATGCGACCGCTACTCGACCGGGCGTACAGACCATGTCCCGCTATCAGCCGTTTGAGGGCTCCGTTCCTATCTGCTCTCCCATGTCACCTATGTTCTGAGGCTGTCTGTTGTACACATGCTAACGATGCTTTCATACTACTAGACCTGCAAGTCGCTACACGCGTTCGCAGTCACGCGGCCAGTGTACCGCAACCTCGCGACAGCGCTACTCAGACGATGTCGTGCCCTCCCACTCCACGGCTTCCAACGACTATCGGATCTCACCGACGAGCAGCTAATAGAAGCCGTCAATCAAGCGACACGATTAGAGAAGGCGTGGCTAACACGAGGTCCCCGGCCGTCGACGAATTCGTCGTACTTGAACACACCAGATGGGTCGCAGAAGGGGATGCGGAAGTGGTACAAGGTGATCAGCGCGCCACCGAACGAGGAGGTGGACTGGCTTTCACCGATCACGTCGAGCTACAGCCTGTGTGCGACGAAGAGCGGGAAGGTGGTGTGCTGGGACGTCCACCGAGACATCTGCCTGGCGGAATGGGACCCGAAGGAGCGATGGGAATTGTGGAAGTGTCGGGTCGAGTTCGACATCCGGACGGTCTTTTTCACGATGGCCAAGGTCCTTCAACGGTCGTAAGTACACACGTATCGGGTACGGGTTCATAGGAGCTATGCAGTTGACGTGCGGTTGTGGCGAGGGGCAGGTACGACGACCGAGTGATGGAATTTGTGCTGATGAAGCTGGAGTTCTTCGACGACGATCGGGAACCGCAGTTCTCGGAGCTGGCTGTGTTCAAGACGATTGGGGTGGTTATGAATGTGTTCTTGCTCGATCCCTCGTCGCGGTTGCTGTCCGCGTTTGTATGGGTGTCGAGCTCGAACACGATCGGGCTCTACGCGCTGTTGGACTGGAAGAAGAACGAGTATGTGTTTGTCGACACTGGTGTCGAATGCGTACGTGCTGCTCCTTGTGCGATTGTCACTTCGAGTGCTGATTGATCCGTTGCAGTCGCTATCGTCGAATTGGTCATGTATCCTATACAAGGGGCAGATCGTGATCCACTCGGAAGAGAGCGACGTCGCACACCAGTACTTCTATCCCATCTCTGTCCTCCAGCGACACGCTCGGCCGTCGTCACCACTGTCATCCTTCGTTCCTAGCATATCCGAGCGGCTTCCTCCAATCACCACCATGACCGCCAACTTCATCTTTCCCCCGCAGACACGAGGGAACACCCCAGCGTCCGTCTCAGAGGCGGACGTGGACGGTGCAAATGGCCACGCACTTGTCGTGGGGCCAGGGCACCCAGCACACGACAACGGCGTTGTCCCGAACGGAAACCCAAACGGGCACGCGCCAGAAGACGGGGACGATGGCGGGTCCGTCGCGGATTCTAACCCGTTCCCTTATCCGCCTTGGTACCCCGAGTCTGCGCACTTCGTCAGGCAGTGGTGGCCGACGCTTGCGTCCGTACCGCGCCTGAGCTGCACGGTCGTCCTCCTCGCAGACCACGAGCCGGACACGCACCGGACGCGGTACGTCCTCGCTCAACACTACTTCAAGGTCCCGCTCGTCGAGCCGGATGAGGCGGAACAGATCTCCGCGTCCGCGTCAAGGGCCGTCGCGGCGAAGCACGGGTTCCTCAATGGTACCTCTCATTCGATGGAGAACGGCTGCGGTGCCAGCCCCACCCCGTCCGCCTCATCCCACGACACCGAGCTCGCCACGGACGGCGACGTCGTCGACCTCGCGCGCCCTCCACCGCAGCCCGAGCAACGCTCGCGCCGGGGCACACCTGAATCGTCGATGATGCGCCTTTGGTACGTCTCGGAGCCGTTCGAGGTCGTCTGTGTGCTCGACGGCATGGACGACGACCTTGACCCAGATGGCAGTCCCGAGCGCCCGCGGCCGCTCATGGCGGTCGACTTTGGGCACGCGGTGTGGATCGAGTTCGCGTTCCCACCAGAGCTCGATCGTGACGAGAAGCGGCTAAGGTTTGTGACGTTCCCCCCGGTGACAAACGACCGGGATGAGATGGGCTATGGGGGGACGGAAGCGGCGGAGAGCTTGGAGGGGATCGTGAGGACGCTGGAGGTACCGGACGAGTTGGATTTGGACACGGTCGAGACGATCAATATCGACCAGAGCCAGGGGGCGATCATTATATCCGTGAGGGACGGGAAGATCTTCATACTTTGTTATGAATGAGGCGACTGGAATAAGATTGTTGCGCCGTCTTGGGTCAATAGTCTGGGACGACAAGGTGGAATAGGAATAGATGGCATTGCGGGATTGCATGGGTATGTGTGTCGTATGAGGGGGGATCAAGGGGTCTTGGATGGACTAGGACGAGGGCTGTGGCCACTTGTATCTTCTCTGACATTCAAGCTCGTAGTAGGTAGAACTCGCATCAATGTATCGTCTAAGTACAGGTTGTGTATTAACAGTAATGCAACATACCCTCGTTCACGCTATCAATTCTCCAGCTAATGGATGGGTATATGGCCGACACCTTGAGCCTTACGCCACAACTGAATGTTTCGACTACTATCCGTGTAGTATCACCTGACACCGAAGTGTCAAATCCTAGTCAGTGGCAGGAAAGATGAGCACTCTTGTCCACATCCCACTCCGACAACCGCCACAGGTTCGGAATTGCTTCATCAAAGCTCATCGAATAGTAGTGCGCTGTGTATCCATCCTCACAAATAGAGCTCAAGCGGCGAGTTGGACGCGTCGAGTTGGACCGTCCCAATCCTCGCGTCCTTCTCATTTCCCCCAGAAGGCCTTACTGAACATCGATGATCCCTTCACCGCGTCCACTCTCACTGTCCTCTGTCGACCTCTTCCCCAGCTGCACATTGAATGAAGCCACATAACACTACCCCCAATCGAGGTCTCCAGTCCATGCCTCCAATGCCGGTCCATCCACTGCCGGAGGCTACGGCGACAAGGAGGGGTTGCGATTACGGGCCCTTTTCGGGATCTGGCTGAGAGCCCATGGGTGGTCTGTACCATGAGTAAGCAGTTGAAGACTAGTGTTATGCTTCGAGACAGAGCCTCCTGGGAATATCAAGGGATAGGAATACAGCCTTGTACGATAGTTTTGCAGACGTTGAGAGCTCGAGACATAGTGTATTTGCGGCATCAAGCCATGAGCTCCAAAGTGTCCGCCCAAGAGGTCTGCAGCAAGCCTACGCAGACCGTGTGGACAATACATTCCAAGTCCTTTGCCAAGTCAGATTACGAGTGTGGATCAACTTCACATGATGCGATGCGTGTCCGTGCCGAGTCGACAAGTCAAACATTCGCTTTGCAAAAATCTAGAAAGCGTTCATTTTGCTGCAATCCGCCTCGCGTTGCTCCCACGCAGCTGCAATTACCATATCTGTGTTCCTCGTGATACCCCGCGAGAAAAAGCCAAATATCCAAGTAAATGTACATACACTGAAACGATATGATTCATCAGGGCATGCGAGCAGATTCATGGTGTCTCAGGAGAACAAAGCGCTCAGATGCCAAACACAGAAGAATACCCTGCCCTCTCGTGTCCTTCACGTCATCGACCCGATTGCTCTTAAAGGCATCATGAACGAACCGCGATGTGGTCTGTGTGTGTATGCGGCTCTAGGCGTTGTCCGGGAAGACGCAGCGGTACGGTGGATGTGTCAAATGTTTCGGCCTAGCACTGGTTGTAGAAGCGGGCGATGAAAACGAGGTGGATGAACTTGGGAGCTGAAGAGGCATCATGTCAGCGCATCTCGGGAGCACCCGCTCAGACAAGGGATCACATACCACAGAAGGAATAGAACTGGTGGACGAGTACTTGGGAATTGACTCAGGGTCAATGTAGATGGCGTCGACGAGCCCGCCAAGCCAGTGGTTGTAATGCGGCAGGTAGGTACGCACGTACTGCAATGGCAGCAGGTCGCCATTGTCGTCAGTGCCTGGGAGCACGACATTGACGGTAAGCTTCAAGTTGTAGCTATCATCTGAGTCGGGGACATCGGGGGTCTGGACGAGGTCTTGCATGATGAGCTTGTAGACATCGACAGCGAAATCAGCTGCTCACATAGATTCCAAGTCCCCACTTGTCTTCGGCGGGATGAAGGCGACAAATCCGCGCCTTACTGAACTGTTCAGGATCCCGATAATACGCCTGTATCCCGATGACTACGTTTGCATCCGACGCCCCGTTCTGCGAGATACGGAATGCGCCATGTGTCATGTTGCCCAGGTTGAGGAACGAAAGCTCCTTGGTAGCGTTGAGCGGGAGATCCACGAACGCGTGGGCATGTAGAAGTCCCGTCGTCTCGCTGTCCGGAAGGTCGATGGTTGTCCAGTTGATATGGTCAAAGCACTCCCCAGGTCCATAGGGAGGCACGTCTTTGGGTACGCTGCCGAGGTAGCACTACGACAATAGTCCAGAGTCAGTATCACCTATCGAAATGGAGATATAATATGCGATACAACATACTCGAGGACCGCTAGGATGACTCTCTCGAGGCCTGGAGAGGATAAGATACAGAGCCACCAACGTCAGACTGGTGCAAATGGCAAAGCGCAAGAGTAGCCGCCTCCAAGTGCGGGTGATGACATTCCCTGCGGCCTGGTGAGTACCGGGCTCCGACTCCTCTAGTGACGAGTCCTCGAGCAGCCTGTCGAGCTCTTTTCCTAGCTCGGGGTCAACCTTTCCACTGGGTGAGACCATGTCAACGACGATGATGGGAATGTGTAAGTGGTGCCCGCGAGCAGGAACGCAACACGATGTTTTCCGGCCAAGGATTCGGTGTCTGTCGGGTAGGCACACACAGCCTTTGTAATCATGACTGCGCGAGTCCGTGCCTGAGAAGTCAGAACCAGCGCGCTTGGACAGAGATTGAGCAAAGTCCGCCACTCTGACCCAGACATTTTTTGTTGATGCTACAAGCCAAGAATCGCAAACGAAAGCATGAGCCAAAATGGTATCAACTTTGTGTTGCTGAAGTTGCAGCCACTTTCGCAGCCGTGTCTGGGTTCGAACTTCTTTGGGTCAATTCAGTTCGGTAGCAACTCAGATTTTATCCGATCAAACCTGGCACGGCCCAGCTTCGTGATCAATCGGCTGCCACAGATCATCCCGAGTTCATCCCTTTCAGAACAGAGTGTCACACCCTACTTGCTGATGGTCTGTTGAGTACCATACCCCACCCTAAATGGAAGGGGCTTGGGGGGTACTAACGAGAATCTAGCTCCCCCATACGGTGAAGGGGATGCAGAACACACTCTTCGATGGTCACTCAGGCGCATATGGTACACCTCGGGGTGATCCCGACCTGTCATACATATGGGCTGGCGACCCCGGGACGGTATCCGGAATGATATCAGATCCATATCTGGTCCGGATACCGAGACCATATGAAGTCAGCTCTTACCGGTGTCATACAGTCCAGCCCATATGATGTCTATATAGGCCACTGTATGGATAGCATATGGGTCTCGTATGTACAGGGTGTTGGTGAGAGAGCGCCCGCATGGCAGGCACCAGGGTGGCATTCGTTTTAGGTAATATTACTTATCGTCTGCAATATACATATAATCACACTTGGGAGATAGCCGCAATGCTGCTATTCATTCTGGTATATAGGATCGCGCATTACAATGAAAGGAGTGTTGGGATAGATACACGAAAGGAGGGAACAGTCGGCGGCGGGTGTCCCATACAACATACTATAGCCAGGAGCACCAAGAGTCATACCGCCCGCACTATTGGG